TTATGCTACTCACAGGGATAAAGGGTGTATTGTATTATTATCGAAACGACGTGCTGAGAGGGTCACAGTTTGATAATAGCTGTACGCAATTTTCAGATTTACAAATATTTCGCTCATTTGTTTGTGATCCACCCTTTCTTTTCTAAAAAAAGGAACCAAGTAATCTTTCAATCTAACATCACAGAGTTGTTCCCTTTCACTCATTGCCGCCTCGCGTAAGTCGTGACTTCATTAAAGTCATTCTTTTCTGTATAAGTGTGGGAATATGTGCACTGTAAAAGAGGAAAATCTCACCAGATCAGCACCATTAGCTTGCACAACTGTTGAACACAGGGCCAAGGTTTAATGCCCCAAATGAACGAATATCAACCCTTGCGGCCATTACTGGTAACGGAAATAGGGTCAAAGAAACTAATGATATTCAAAGTAGTGTTTCATTTGATAAGCAATGAGCATCGTGTAGCTAGTCAATCATGATGGCCATGGTTAACATCTTTAAAATTTTAGAGGGATAAAGCCGTTTAGAAAGTCACTTTAAAAGTTCATAATTCAATATTTTTTCAGCTAAGCGTGACACTTCCCAGAATGACGATCTTGCGAGTGGTTTGTCTATGACAAGAACGTCTTCAACCGACGAATTTCTTGAAGTTTCCAGGTCGTTGAAACCATAAGTTCAATTCTAAACCCGAACTCTATAAAATGATACGTATTAACTGGTTTTAAGTTCTGTAAAGTGGAATTTAGGCTACTAGATCACTTAATGCAATTTATATCTTTTAGTGTAGAAATAATTTTTAATATTAATGACTGAAATGTTAAATAAACACATGTCAGCCTCGTATATCACACTTCTTTAAATAGTGTTTACTTATAATCTGTATATTAGGCTATCATGTCATATAAACAGAAATACTCAAATAATTATTTCTGTTGCATACATGACTGTATTCAGCATATAGCAACGAAGATATTTATCCCAAAACGTATGGATGCCCATTGATATAGCCTACGTTTTATATACATTTTCAGCACAGGGCACATTCTCTACGAAATATTGCCAAGAATGGATAGCCTATAGCCCTCAGAAGACCACACACAGTTGTCATCAGTTGACCATGTTAGCATGACAGCATTTGTACTAATTGTGGGCCGAAACTGTTGATATCTGAGATAATCCGGTTGATCACAGGAGCTGGTAGCTGCGCACTGACCCCTTCACATATTTCTTCTGTCAAGTTATTTTTGTGAATTTGAGCTCGCAACTATCGTGTCCAACCAGTGAGTATCTCTATGTTTTGAACGATGATATTTTACTATGGTCAGAAAATCTGCATTTGCAACTACCAAACCATCCAACTAATCCAGATCCTACTTGGACAACCAACAACAGTTACTATCTAGCCTGCGATATTATAGTTAACTGGAAACGGACGTTAACCAATAATATGAATGCTGATGCACTAAAAACAGTAACAGGAAATCTGGTTTATTAAAAATAATCAATGAGAAAATAAATCATAATAATTATAACTTGGAAGGAAATGATAAAGTAAAGGATATTTCCTCCACTAATAAAATAACAGTTTTACCAACAGACATAGCTTGTTCATTGTTAAACTCTGTTCACCACGTGTTGTCAGTAGTTTGTGTATTAATTACAGATTTCTAGTCTGCTGGCCTGGAGGTTGAAATAAATACAACCTTGGTCACTAACTTGAGGCTGTTAGTCTGGACACAGGAAACTTACCATCATGTAAAGAGCAATCTGCAAGGTAGTTTCAAATGCATTAGATGCTATATAATACTGACTTACTGAAATATGTATATTTAACAAAATAAAACCAATTAATATGATTTAAGTTTTCTGAAGATATCTGTAAAGTATTACAGTCTAATTGTCGATTAGGCTATAACCATTGCAAAAGGAATGTTCACAATTGTGACAACATAAAGGTTGTCTTGTTGGTGTTGGGACTGTAGAGTAGAGCATTTTAAAAAACCGAACATAAGTGAATGCTCACAGGTAGTAGAAATCATTGGTAGGGACAGATGCAAGGTTCTAGGGTCGGAATGGACAAATGCTAGTAATTTTAGCCTAGCCTGTCATCATTGGTAGTCTTGTTTGTATCAGAACATCTCACTCATCATTCAGGTGACCTTGTTAAAGTATCAGAAACATGCATGATACCTACAACATCTGAGAAAAACACACGCCCTTGCTAAACAAAATCAAAACAAAACTTCGTCCAAGTTTTTTCTACCCTGAATGCCTTGAAGGATTCAGACAAGCAACAAACAGACGTCGGCCATGTTTCTATACCTCACGTGTTGTACACGTCATCATGATGACGTAGACAGATGGTAAATAAAAACAGAAGTAGTGCTGTATATTTATAATCATTATATTTATGGTTTGTATTTACTCGCACCAATTCGATCGCTGGTGTTTATTAATACTTGGCATTGGAAGTCAATAGAAAATAGACATTATTATAACATTGTTTACTAAACAAATTACTAAACAACCGTTATATATCTACTATTTCTTTTATTTTCTAGCTTGATTACATAATTCTTATTGCCTCAAACTTTTACAACGTCTTGTTAGGCTAATTTAATATAGGTGGCTTTGGACAAGACCTCTACATCAAAGGCGGACTTTGTCCCAATATATTTACGTGTATACTCAAAGTTGTTCGTTTTTCAAGACCAGCCAGTTCTAAATTTTTTGTGAAATGTTGATTTTCACGAACAATTTTAACAGGGGTCCAAAAAAAGGACTGAATCTGAACAGACACCCTACGAAATCGGTGTAAAAAATTTCATAGCTGCGTACGTGATTTCAGATTTAGGGAGTCGATATCTTTTGCTTGGCTTGGTTTCATATTTATGGCAAAATGTCTTTCATCGAGAGCAATCGAGTTATGCAAAAGAGAACGTAAATTCACTTTTTTGGGGGAGTTAATAGACAAAGTTAATTTTCTTGTCGGCGTTTTATTATTTTTCTTGCAGTTTTTTCTCTAGTGCAGTGATTTATCAGCAATTCCTTATCTTAATAGTTAATTCTAACAAAGGGTGGTAATTTATTTCATATTACTTCATATCTGTCCATCAGATGCAGTTAGTAGCATCCCAATCACCAATTAGTATAATCATCAATTTATTCGTCTTCTGACGTCATTCTAGGCACGTTCTGCAGCTAGCTATTACAGGTAATGTGCTTTTAATAAAACAATTTGCCTTTGATGTTTACTGCCGCCGATTCCAGAAGATCAATAGATAACAGAAAGATGCAATGTTAAGTGTGGTGTTATTTTTGTGTGTAACAAGGTGTTCTATTATAAACACGTGCATAAAAGAAAGAAGTAGCCAAGATGGAAAAAATGATTGTAGAAAAAATATTTTAAATAAACTTTAGTTACTAAACTAGGTGGCATAGTGCAGATTTAAAGGTTCGCCTGCAACAATAGATCACTAGCAACTGGTCTTTAGGCTATAGGTATACACAGCAGGTTTTGATTATATTTAAAATCCGCCATCTCGAGGGATTATCCGAGGGAGAGGATTTTAAATCATAAAAAAACGAGGGGGTGTTTTATCTGTCTAATAAACAGGGAAGGGAAGGACTTATTTGCTGGTTTTTTGTTTGGAAAAAAACAATATGAAATGAAATAAGGGGCGCAACTCGTGTCTTCAAACTCGGTCAGTACATAAACCAGTGAGCTAGATTTACTAGTTGAATCCAACTACCAACTACTACGACTACCAACCACCTAGTTTGCGATATCAGCATCCGCTGGAAGCGAACGTTAACTTGTCATCTACCTACCAACCTACCTACTACCAACAACTACCTAGTTTGCGATATCAGCATCCGCTGGAAGCGAACGTTAAGTTGACATCTACCAACCAACCACTTACTATAGTTGTATTACTTTGAAACCTTCTGACAGCGTGTACTGGAGATTACCAACGAAACCTACTCTCTCCAAAGCATCCTCGGGGAAAGAGTCGTTTGATGGCAAAGGGGTGCAACTCTTACCTACAAATGGGGACAATTTAGCCGGTGACCAGTGAGCTACAAGACTTTATATTTGATAATTGGTTTGTCCTCGCCTCCCATTCTTGGCATCCGCCTCAGGCATTTACTAGATACGCTCCTGTTTGTAAACTATTGCTTTTTAATTTGACAATTGAACATTGATTTGATAAATTGTATTTACTTTGATGAGTAAATTTTTCTTAATTGGCATTTAATTAAATTACTTCTACTTTTGATGGATTTTCAAGCAATTTTTTGCTCGAAAGTGTAAAAATTTTCAAAATTCAAAACATTTTTATAATGATAATTCAAATATTAGACCTTCTATAGTTTGATGAGTGCTATTTTACTTTCTTTATTCCTAGTGCGCTAAGAATATTAGTTCTTTCGTTTTTTTTCTTAGAATATAAATTTGTACGTAACCGGCTTCTGTCATATTGAAGAATTATTGACAACATGGCAGATTACAGAACAAGAAATGGTATAAGATTGTTTTATGATTTAAAAACGTTCTTTTTTCATGTGATATTATGACAACTTGCTGCTCACGTCTGTTATCTCACGCCCATGGATTGAATCATGAAATTTGATTGAGAAACGGGCATTAACAATTATTAAGAGTCGTTTGTTTACATTATTATTACATTGAATTGAAACGAAGAAACTTTAAAAACGGACTTTCTTACTTCAAGTCACTTTTTGTTATGACTAATCGTGGTATATTATTACATATGGATTCTGCTAAGATATATTAAGTGTTGTTGTTGTTACAGGAAAAACAGAAGAGATGCTGGATTATGAAAACCAGCAAAAAGTTAGTGGTTTATCATCCAAGATTTCAAGACTAAAAGAGGTACTGTGTTTAATTAACCTTGGGTTAAATCCCATAAACCCTATCCAATTGCTCTGATTAAACTAATTTTAATACAATCGACCTAAACTCTTTTTTTTTTTTGAGGTATCATGATCTCACACATAGAAATTTTGAAAACAACATCAGTTTTAAGTATTGATAAGCAAATATCAATGAGTCAGAAGTTCCCATTTAATGACTGATACGATATGTGAATATAGGTAAAGTCACTGAACAGGAGCAAGAAAATGGTTGAGAAAGCTTATTAGATTAATGTATATATATATTTTTTTCAGATCACAGTAGACCTGAATACTGAGGCTAAAGAATCCAATTCATTTCTTGATGGAATGGTAAGTCATATTTCATAAACAATTTAATTGACAATATATATTTATTTATAGAGAGATTTAGGAGGTTCAACATAATAAATGATGTGTAGCTTCAATGAAGACCCAAGTTGATATGTGCAGTCACCTAATGAAATCTGACAACTTCTGATACAAGTTATTAATAATAAATTATTAAAAATAGAATAATAATTTTGTTCTTTGTATTTTTCAGTCTGATAATTTTGGAAGCGCAACTGGTTTGTTAACAGGAAGTATGAGCAGAATGAGTCATATGGTGAATTCTGGGAAGGGTAATCGTAAATTGATGTGTTATATTATCATCGGACTGGTTACGCTGTTCTTTATATCATATTATTTAATATCACGGGTAACATCGGGATGAGCTGTTATTGTTACTAGCGTGGGAAAATTGTTTGGTGTGTGCTTTGAATGGATGTATGGATGAGTTTTTAAGAGGAAAGTTATGATAGTATGCACATCTGCTGAGGATACAAAATTCAAATTTGCATATTCTTGAATGTATTTATTACCAGTGATATTATACTGTAATAACTGCATACAAGAAGTTTATTAATGCACTAAAAGTCCAGTTGTGTCCTACTGTTTTTGAGCTTAAATATCTGTTCAGATCTTAGGATCTAACATATTAAAGATTCAACATATTAAAGGAGTTGTTAGGAGGCTTTCTAAATAATGTATAGGAGGGACAATGATACATCATTTATCAGTCTGAAGTCTGTGGTTCTTGCAATGCTATTAAAAGTAAAACTAAAACTATGCAAACTGGTGCAAATCAATGCCATCAGTGTCCTGATACCTCCCACATTTAGAAGCACTTTATTAGAACACAAACAAGGTATAGATTGTGCAGTTTCAATTACTTATTATGTATTCTTATTTTACCCAAGTACAAAAAATGGACTACTCTTGTTCATGGTTGGAAACTTCCCTAGATGTGCACCAATATCTTGGCTTGACGTTACAGAATGTTATATTAATGATGTTAAGGAATATGAAAGTTGTTATTATAAATTGTAAATATTTGTTATTGTGATGTAAATATTATTGTATATATTGAGGTGTATATTTATTTCTCTCTTTTGTTTATGCAATCTTTGCTTGACAATAAAATCAAGTATTATTTTAATTTAGTAAGTCAATGTTATTTTGACTGTATATTTTGTTATTCCTATATACATATTAGGGAACCCCAGACTTCATCGTTTTAGAGGAATTCCTCTATTTTTCTGGCCGTTTTTTTATTTTCAAATAAAACCTTTTAAAATTTTAGGAATGAAAAGATTTCTGTATTGACTTCCAAAGCATATTAAAATGGTAAAATCTCCCCCTATTCCTCACATGAGAGTCTGTAAGCTCTCTTTACCTTTAGCATATATTTTCCATTTCCTCAATATTTTTCGTTCCTCACTGGGATCCCTGACATATACAGATATAGAGGTGTATAGAAAGTTAATTTATTGGTAAAAACTGCAGTGGAATCTCTGTTTATTATTAACTGTAATCAAAATGTGATAATAAAAGACTAAGCTGAAATATAATTTGTTTATCTTGCATTTCTTTCACCTTGTTTGACTTCAATTACATGAGCTCAAGTTGGGTTTTTCATCTTAGTATGCTGAGAACACATTACTATATTTACCTGACGTGATTCAAAGCAATCTTCTATCAAAAGACACTTCATGATTTGGTTTGTTTACCTATGTGGCACACATTGAGTCTCATAGGTCTTAAGGAAAGTCCAGTAGCTGAATTGTTCCATTTATAGCACTTGAATCTGGATGAAATTCTCTTGCTAAAATCTAACCAATTGGGGACATTGTTTGAAAGCCTGGTGATGTTTAATAAGCTCTCTTTCTTCATTTCCCAGTCAACCTATGATAAAGTGATAATCTAGGAAAGATCAATATCCAGAGATTTGGCTACGGACTGTATGGAAGAGCCCAGCTTACATGGTCTAATTCTGCATTAAAACAACTGTGGTCTCAAAGAAAAGATAATTCGAACTCTAGTGCGACATCACATCAGATATAAGCCTATTTGATATTGAGATTCGGCATTCCAGTACGTTCTTTTGCACAGTTATTCAAACTTTCTATAGCATTAAGTGTATGTGGCTATGTTACTTTACAATCAAATAAATTTATATCACTTACCTGAACACGACACAAGTGTCGATTCTTTGCACTCGTCTCGATCAAAGAACAAACCTCCCACACAAAAGAGCTGCCAAGATGGCCGGCAATAGGTAATGAAAATAATTATTGATTAGGGATTTATTGACTTACTATGATATAGAACATATGGGAGGCGTATTTTTTCCATTCAACTTTACCTTCGAAGGTTTCTGCAATCTAAATTATTGACAGATTAGGTACAATTTGTCACATTCACTGAAAAAATCTTTTCTGAATCTACTGCATATTTTGTCATTTTTTTTTCACATTTTTTAAAAATTATTTTGGATATGTAATTAAACGATTGTCTTTGTATTTAGCTAAATTGTGGATTATTTTTTCTTTTAGGGATATAAAGTATCCTGTTGGGCAGCCAGGTTAGTAAGCATTCGTATGCACAGATTTTCAATTTAGCCTATTATTATGTTTATTCAATTACTTTTCATTTTATAGATTAGGCCTGTGATGGCTGATGAGTCATGATATAGGCTGTAGGCCCAATATGCCACTAATTTCAAATAATTATTGTGCACAACTAAGTTCTTAGCAGACCTTGCACTAGATATGGATATACTTTTTTTAAGTTATTAATTCAAAATTCCACTCGTCACAGGCAGCATAATATTGTTTTTCTTTACCTATTCCTTTCTGTATGTCTTGTAAACTGCATATTTTGTATTACTTGTAGGTTTTAGTAATATGATGTCAGGCTCAAGACAATTTGTTCAACCAGGGATGACTTTTCATCCTCTGATACAGCAACCATTACCTCGTATAGCAGGAGGTATACCACAATCTCCTCAACAGATGTTCCCATTACAGGTATGGTGTTATTTTCTTCTTTAAGACTCTAAGCATCACTTCTAAAGATATTAAGAATTTTAGGTGACATTGGGGTTAAATAATGCTTTGAAAGCACAGGCATGTAGTTATAACCTGTTGTGAGAGAATATTTATTTTGTAGTTAGTTATTATGATAGAAAGTAACAATTTGCTTATCATCAGAAAGCACAGGCTGCAAAAGATAGTTAGAACCCTACAGAATTAATCACTTTGAGCAAAATTATATTAAATGCATAAGAACGTAGTTTATACCATGTTTACTACAACAATGTATTTTATTAAATATTTTTTTCTTTATTTCTAGGGACAATCATTCCAGATGGCGCCACGAAGAATGGCTCCACCCTCTTACAATCAACATATATCACAAAACTTTGTCAGGTAAATTTATAAAATTCTCAAATAAAGAACAAACTTGACTGTTTGTCTGACCATTATGTTTCATATTTTGTCATTTATTTTTGTTGAAATTGAAATACCAAACAAAATACTACCGAGAGTCTTATGCTTTTTAGTTCAAAACGTAAGAGTTCAGTATCAATTTATTTTGGAAAATGTTATTTTGAGATGTTATGTGAAAATCAAATATTTCAGTGTGAACTGCAATGACACACTGAACCATGTTGCTTGCTTCAATAACCTAAACATGTGCAGAAAAGTAGGAAATAAAACTCCATTGCATTTCATTTGAATTTTTCAGGAATAGACCAGCTATGGTTGTACCAACAAGGCCACCTCCATCTCAAAAAGATATCCAGTTTCAAATTCAACAACAACGTTTAAAACAGTTTGGTCAAACCAAACATGTCAAGGCAGACGCAGATAAATTTATAGAATCCATGTTTGGAAAAACTGAGAAACCAAAAGGAAGAATGGATAGACATCTTGTAACTGTTTCAACAGCCCAGCCCCCAGCCTCATCATCTCATTCTACGGCATCCTCATCACATGTTTCTATATCACAACAGTCCACACCTACGATACAGCCTTCTATGTCACATACTTCCTCTGGTAGGTAAACAAATTCAAATTCAAGATGTTTTCCTTTATTTGTGGTGTCCTTTATATGTTTCTATGAATGGATATTGTGTCTGAAATTCTAGTAACATAATCACAACCAGATAATTTTGATCACAATGACACGAAATAATCAACATAATTGATTTATACGGTTGGAAGAAACCTTAGAAAACAGACCATCTTTCCTCATTATTCCAACGTATTGTAAATTTATACAGATAATCCAGGACAGGTAAATGCCAAGAGGATTGGCCAAGGACCAGCAGTTAGAAAGGATCCTCATGAGCCTAGATTGTTATCCTATCCTGAAACCAAAGTAACCATTATTTGTCATAACTCATTGCCTTCTTCAGCTCAGTCAGTTCCAGAAGATGATGGTTTTGGTGATTTTCTGCAAGGACCAATGACTTCTAGTACTTCTAAACCTCCAGATGCCTCCCCAGCCAGTGCTTCTGTGGTAACTGATAATACCCACCCTAATCCTGCTAGTGTGCAACCAGACACTAGTACTGTTACAACCTCAAAACCTCCAGAACAAAAGAAAGGTAAGACTGCTCAATATCAATGACTAAAAAGGGCAATGTATAAGCTTTAAGCTTATGCTAATTCTGAATATATTGTCATATTATTGGTCTATGTAATACGGAATTAAGGATTTCAAAAAATTGAATTTGTGCTAATAGAAGTTTTTAGTTTAATCGTCAGCAATACAACTAAATCTCAATACATTCTCTTTAATTTATACTGATGGTATTGTTAGTATCAGCCACAATTTTTAGTATCATTTTGAATATTTGTTACATTACTTGCTACATCTTAATGGTGATGAGTAACGCGTCATTTATTTTTTTGCGATTTTTTTTCTCAAAGATTTTTTACCCAGGACCACACACATAAATTATCAAGGTATGTATTATTACAAATTATTAGAATTTTTTTTTCAATACACCTTTTCATTTTCTTAACTTTTAATTCTGAGTTTTGATCATTCTTTTCATTTAGAATTAATACTTCGGATTTGACACAGTGGTCCTGTGGTTTGTGAAACGTGGCATTATGAGTTGGTTTCAAAATAGAAGCCTGTAACTCTTAAATAGTTAACCAAAATATACTCTTGCTTTCTGCAGTTTAAATGTGGTACTTCAGAGCCAATTCATTAACTATGAACACATACTGATTACACCTCATTATGTTACTGTTGAAACATTCTTATTATACAAACTCATTTTCAAGGAATCTTGTGTGAAAACTAGATTTAAACTTTGAAATATAACCTGGATAATATGACCAAATAAAAATATTGCATATTGTAAAGTTGTTTGAGTAAAAATTAACTGATTAATTCAAATTAAAGTCTAGTCTTAAAATTTGATATTTCCTTACAGATGAGAGTGGAAGTGAAACATCTGAGAAAACTGTGATTCTACCAGCTGATTCCCCATCTTTACAGACTACCACGACTGTATCACCACCTAAAATACCACGATTAGACATCGACCCAGAATATGGTGAGTACAAGTTCAAATATGTCAAATAATTAGCACAAGGAGAAATACATGCATATACATGTTAAATTTCATGTTTCAAGCTGCAAGCTGAGACAAAATCAAAGTAGATATGAAACAGCTATTCTCAGTAATTTTAGAATGATAAAACCAGGTTAAGACGTGTTGAAGGTCCTTCGCCTATTTTTATTCACATATCTTTGAGTATCCTATTGCTGAATGTTTATAACCATTGCTTTAAAAAAATCACTATTGTTTAAATTTTTGTGCGCTTTTTCAGATATAGAATTTGAGAATGATGTAATCAGCCCTATAGATGACACAATGTTGATGTTACCCTCGTCCCCACTGTATCCAGGTAGTGAACCCTGTTACCACCGTAGAAAAAAACCTCGCAGAATAGATGAGATCACTCCAGACGACAATTTAAAACTACAGAATCAAGTATTAGAACTGCAGAAACGAGTGTTAGCACAACAGTTGGTGAGAGAAGAAAAAGCAGATTTCCGTGCCATGGAATGTGAGGAAAGGGAGAGAATTTTGTTTGATTTACAACAAGCTAAATTAACTCTAGAACTGGAGGTTTTAAAACAGAAATTAGGTCAAAGTAAATCCACTGACAATCAATCTAAAGAAGGAGAGAAAGCAGATGACATGTTTTATGTTAATTAGATCAAGTGGACATCACAATATTTATCACGATATTGGATCATATCACAATATGACTAAAAATATAAATTTCTATACTGCTATATATTTATGATACTGTACATCTTCATATTACCTTAATATTGATTATCCTTTAGCAACATTTAGAGGTAGAGATCACATTAAATAACAGACACAATTTTATGGTATACTACTCCTTAATTTTATTACACACTACGTTTGAACAGTGTACATTGTCATCATCTTCACCTGAAGATGACCATGTAGATTGTTGCAATGTCGTGTGTAATAAAACTAAGGAGTAGTATACCATAAAATTGTGTCCGTTATTTAATTAATATTGATATATCTACTTAACACAATATCACCAAGCCTTAACAATATTATTGACCTAACTTATCATTGCTTTATTGAGTTTTTGTAATTTTTATTCTAAAATAAGACCAATCAAAATTTATCTAGTCGATTTGATATTCTTATGCTAGATTTTAGAATGTATTTTGTTGATTTGGGTGAGAAAAATAGACATGGTTATGGTAATTCATTAATGTGTAATATTTAGTATGCATTTACAGTTTAGAGATAAAAGTTAATCAAAAATGTTTTAGTCAGTACAAAGATATTTATGCACAAAACTCCTCAAGACAATTCTAGAAGATTTTATTTGTTTGAGGTTAAATGAAACTACACAGGACCTGAATCATCCTCATTGAATTTAATATTCAGCAAAAAAATTACTGTTTATTTTTAAACATATACTCAATGAATATTAGAAAATGCTTATTGTGTTATGTTTATTGTTGTTTTGTTATTTTCATCATGTTCTGTTTGTTTATCTATACATTAAAAGGTAAAGATGATTGTTTATTTCACAAGAAAGTTGATTTTAGTGTTTCTTAAATTGGTGATGATTCTAAACTAATAGAAAAATCAGCATTCATTTATTATACTTAAGTCAAGCAAAGATATTTTTACAAATCTATTTATAATTCAAAACATAAAAATAACAGTCTGCTGTTCTTGAAGGATACGATATAGGTCTTAAATACTTTCAATCACACCTCAAGATCATACCTCAAAATGAAGCAAGACTGCATGTATTTATGTTTCGAATTGAAACCAGTGTACAAATATATTTGTTCAAATTTACCCTGGATATCTAAATATATAAAAACAAATCTTACTGATTAGATAATGTTAACTTTTTAAACAGTTGAATGTTATAATTTAATTCAATGGTAAAATAATTTATGTTGCTTTCTGAATTATACATGTATATCTTATGAAGCTGATGTAAATATCTGACCATTGTAGGTCCTATGATTAGTCTAGATGATGTAATGATGATAAAAGGTTTATGGTAAAAAATGTATGATTTTATAGTATATATGTTTGCTAATCTTCTGTATTAAAATATTATACTAGAATTTACAGTATTTTATATATCATAGGATTATTGACTGGTCTTATGGGAGAACTATCAATTCTATGTCATCTTTTGGCCAATTGTGTTGATCTTAAAAGGGTTCCAGCAGACCTTACAACTGACAAATTTGGGAGCAATTAGGTTTTCAATGACTACTGGTGACATCTGAGAGAATGGTTTGCCATGCATCTGTAGTAGCATAAAGATTAAACACCTTGAACTGTATCACAGAGATCTGTTGTCCGAAATGTTTAAAGACGAAGTTCCTAGGCCATTTGGACTTTGGCCCTGTAGTTTAAAGTATGCGGTGTTCGGCTATATATAAATATGATTGCAAGGTAAAGCTGTGATAGTAAAACTAGCAACTCCAGTGTATTTTTTAAAGAATTAGTCTGTGATATCAGTTTACTATGAGGTACTTGTCATCTACCAACTGACCAACCACACACCAGTCAATCTTTTCAAATTATTTTGTAGATTTAATGTCTATGATGATGGCATGCTCAGATCTAAACGCTCCAAAAACAGCCAAATTATTTCACAAGCCAGCTGTCAAAGATGTACAAGTGTCTCATCATACCAATAAAACATATCATCAGAGTGACCAGGCTAGACAGTGGCAGAGTAGTACAGAGTTAGAGGGATTATTCCATCAAAACAGTAAGTACCTTGTGCTCAAAAGCACTTTGTAGTAAGTGATATTATTTTGACACTTTATTATTTGATTGATATTTGATTACAATACCAAAATCTCTCCTATTTTTAATTTTACGTATCTATGGCTATGACATCAATGTATCGAAAACATTGAGAGATTTTCTTAGAAAGTCTTGCAAATACAAAAATATAATAATCATTTTCTATCATTTTTAGTTCCAGAAGCTCAACCTGGACCAGTTCCTCCAGCAGAAGCAGCAGGAAATACATCATCAGTAGTGGCTTCCGCATCAACTACAGCTTCTCCTGCAGCTGGTACACCTTCTGGTAAGCTTCTACCAGAATGGTGTTATAGATCTGGTAAAGACTTACCACCACTATATCAACAAGTCTATGAAGCAGCTCTTGTGTAAGTTTTATTATGTCAGCTTTCTTAAAGGGATGCACTCAGCTAATTATTCACTGAAAGCTGATGAAATTTTAACTTACCTTAGAACAGCTCTTGGCCTTTTCTATGAATTATCACGTTGAGGGACCAAGTGGAATCAACAGAATTCATCTTTCATGAATTACAGCTCAGTAAACTTCTTATGTATTAGAGGGAGCACTGATTACATTAGCATTGCATAATGACTTTCAAATTATCAGTCATATATTTGTGGGTCTTGCAATTCCACTAAAACTGATCCATGAAAGTCTGAGTAAAATCATTTCTGTCTATTTCAGTGATGGTAAAATAGACACCAACAGACTCTATCCTATATTATTGTTAAGTTGTCTACCAAGAGAAGTGTTAGGGTATATCTGGTCTATGTGTAATACAGCTACCCCTGGACAACTTATACAAACAGAACTTAATGCTGTCTTGGCCTTAATCGCTTTAGCACAGGTAAGTTTTCATCATTTTGTGTGCCTTTTGTCTAAATGTGGCATGCTTATGTAGAGCCTATAAGCAATATGGGTTTAAAGGCCAAAAACCAGACTAACTGGCAATGGCCATTTCCCTAACCTTGAGAAGGATTCAAACCTCTAGTACCTTCTCGCCTAGTAAATAACAATCCAACTTGTTACTGACTGAGCTATTATACTACTTTGTTTTATTAGTATAATCTTGAATAATCTGTTTTTGAATTGTTACCCTTGACTTATCAAAATTTGACATAGTACTAAAATGCTCAAGGCTAGTTGTCATCTGGTTGCCATTTGATCTCTTGTTCTTGTATTTCAGAACAATCATAGTATAATGAATAAAGAAATACTCAAACGATGTCCACAACCTCCTCTACCAATCCTTCAATCAGTTCCTCCTGTAGCTCCTGGTGGGGTAGCACCATCAGTGTCCCCAGGCCCCCAGCCTACCCCTGGAACACCTCAGCCTAATCAACTCCCTGAGAATCAAAACCAACCTAGTGTAGCCCCTACTAACCAAGCACCAGCGACCTCTAGTTTTAGTGTTGTTGCTCCAAAACCTACTCTTGGTACAGGTTAGTTCTCTTGTATGTTTCTCTGTAGGTGATTTGGAATTTGTTGTTTGAAAAGAAACAAACATCTATATTTTTCTAGGATGATAGCTTTAATACTGTGATCTGTGCAGCTGGTATTGGTAAAAACTATGGCAATAGTACGTGGGTATCTCCCAGATTTCTTTGCCAATTACATCAGGAGTGTATTCCTTAAATGTTTTATATGTTCTGTTCTTAATGTGCTCCACAAAATATGCAGATCTTTATCCTCAGACAAGAATAGATTGGTCATTTTAAAAGTGGAATAATGACATTGTTTGTAAGATTAAATTTACTATCATTTGAGTGAAGATATAAATTTCCATCTATTTTATGTTTGTAAAGGTATCGTGCAACAAAACCCTGGTACAATTCAACCAATATCAGCTCCAACTGCTTCTCTAACCCCTCATTCTATTGGCGGAACCATGGGAGGAAGTAGAAATATTAACCAATCAGAACCAGCAATAATAACTCATACATCAGAAGATGATTTTGCTGATTTCCAGTCAGCAGATAAAGCAACTACAGGTACTAATAATTAATCTTCTCTTAATCTTTAATTCACCTAGTGTCAAGAGAAAGAGCATATGCTATGCACTAATCGCTTTGAAAGCTGAAACATATAACATCAATGGTTTGCAGCATCATTTTGTGCTGTCCATTCAGGTGAATGTTATTAGAATTGATCTCTAATATTTATTATATCATTTTCAATTTAGAAGATGAATTTGGAGAATTTATGGGAACCAACAATCCAGCTTGTATCACTGTAGAAGAAAAACCTCCGTAAGTAGAATTGATAAGAAATAAAGAAACAACTATATTTTACAAGAATAGGAACTCAAGTTCCTTTCTGATCCTTGGCCAAACCTACTTGCATTGATTGTTCCCTGATTATCCACACCTGGTTTGACTGGATAATGAGGAAAGATTAGGTTCTCCTGACTTTCACAAACCAATGGAGATTAGACCCTAAGATTACACAAGATCACATGATGAAAAGTTTAGTTACTAATGCTGGTGATGGTTTACTTTCTGTAAGACTCAAGGAGAAAATAACTTCTTCAAACTGTTACTTTGATTTTCAGGAAAGTCATAAAAAAAATGTTAAAGAAATTTATGGTTTTCTGATTTTTTTAAGTCTATGTTTTAAGTACTAACACTGCTTTAATCCTGTGCCAGTGCCTTCTGTTGAATAGTACCGGTAAATTGTTACCTTAAACCACCATAATCTCTTTGTAGGTATATTATATCCGTACCAAAAGTGGATCCAAAAGTCAGTGATGAAATGACAGCAGATGAAAAATATTCCAATGTCAGAAGTTTTTTTGGCAGTAGTGGTTCTTCAGGTATATATCATTATGTTTTTATTATTATATCTCTTGGTGTTTAGACTTATAGATGGTCTCTCAGCTATTCTTCTTCTTCATCTCTTGCTATAACATTGTCAATATTTTATAGATGTATTCATGGCTTTGTGTGATATTTCACTTCTGAGGAAGGCTAATTTTGAATTCAAATAGATAAGAGTACATTTTAAAACATACTCGCCAACACATGAGTAAGCTCAGAATTAATATTCAATACAAAATTATAAAGTCATTTGTCTTGGAATGTCATCTCGTCCAAAGTATATCTTTGATGATTTCAGATTTGAAATAAACACACTTCCCTTTCAACAATTTCCTTATAAAATTTACATAGATAGCATAAGTTTTAAGTTAGCCTTCTGCAGAAGGTTTAGTTTATGTATAAATTTATAACAGAGATATAATCAAAATATCCTATAGTCTTTATTTATCTTGTAATATCTAATTGGAATTAAATGCTTCATATTTATGGTTTTATGGGCAATTAAATTAACTTGAATAAAGAATTTAACAAAAGTTGATCCATAGATTTTGTTTTATAATTTTATAAAAATTATGTTATTGTTTGTAGAAAAGATATTAATATTATGTTATTTTTAGTTTGTACCAAAGCTATTATGTTGTTTATTTAATCTACAATTTTGTGATTATAGTAATTTTGTAACATTATGTATTAATATTTTGGTTTGTATTCAACAGTTTAAACTCTTATCATGATTCTAGTAAGCCAGAGTTGGTATTCCAGTTTGGTTGAGAATATATGTATTGTAATTGTAACTCTGGTTTCACCTGTTAATGAAACAGAGGTGTGGGGATAAAAAACAAACAGTAAATTGAAAACAGCTTATATCATGCTGCCAACACAATACTATTTCATAATTAAAACTGGTTTGATTTTTTTATGTGCATTGGGGAAATTTATGGCTTTTATTTGCATGATTCCAATATTCAAACAGATGTTGTTTGTTGCTGTAATAATATAAATTCTTAACTGTATATGACATCACTATCGCACGACACACAAACTGCTTAAAATATCTCTGGACCTTTCTGATCATAAAAAGTTTTAGTGGAAATACATACAAAACTTGGAATACAACATTCCTTTAAGTGATAAAACTATGAAAAGAGTTTAAATTGTTGTATAATAACAGTATCAATGGTGTATATTATTATTATTATTATTAGTTGTGTAGTTGTAATGTAGTTATAGTCAACACTAATATTTCACATTATTTCAGCACCTAACACTGTATCTCAATCACTGTATCAAGGTATTGTTTTTAGTTTCTTATTAGTTCCATTAGTTCACCATTAGTTAACTAATGTATCCCATTTCACATTGCCATCCAATGAATGAAATTTGAAGGCAAAGAATGAAATTTAAAAAATTAAGAAAGTCAAATCTTTAAAAATTTTGAAGCCAATAAACTCAATTTTTTTATAATTTGCATGCTAAGAAAAAAAAATTTCAAAAATTTGAAAGCCAAGGTACAAATTTAAAAGGGTGTCAACTTTCATAAAAGTTTGGTTCATTGGACAGCAATATGATGTGCCTGCTAGCTTGCTATATAACTAACTTTACTAATCTAGAAGTGCTTTGTTGTGATCTGACAAATTGAATATAAAGTAATATTTACCTGTATACATGCATGTAGTAATGGACCAGCTTTGGTCCTAATTTAGACTGCATGTATTTTTTAGAACTACTAATAGGTGTGTGTTTGTGTATGTTATATGAAAAAGTGTGTTGTGTGTTTAAATTTTCTTAATTTAGGTGTGACAATTACTCCTTAATTTTAATGGCATGCACATAAAGCATGATACCCAATCCTTGTGTGCACTGGTAGCACTTTCAGAAACTAGAAAAAAATTGATACTCGAAATAAGTCTGAATTTTGGTGTTCATCATCTCCAAAATATTAAACCTTTGCAGCCCTTCCATCTGTCTAAAAGATTGTGACCCAAATTGAAACTGTCATAATTAATGTGACTCAAATGCCTTCAGTCCTATTGCTTGAGATCCCAGGACTATTTGATCTTTCCTCTCCCATAGACCTAAACCCTTTGTCCTAGCCTCTTTTTCTTTGTATAAACTGATGTGACAAATATGCAATATAACACACCCTTTAAAATCCTTTAATTGGCAAGAATTGGTATGTTGTTGTATTAGAATACTGTAGTTGTGATAACCAACCCTCTTTGTGTAAACAATAACATAGCTCATGTGCTATATATTCAGATTTAAAGCTCATATACACCTATTGACTGTTTTTTGATGCAATTGTTTATGATTTTAGGTCATACATCGCCAAATAGTTTGGATGAAGAAGACTACACTGATTGTAGGGATAGCACCAGTCAGTTCAGTACATCAGAGCAATCGGAGAACGAGGACATCAAAGCTTTTGAATCGTATGTTGAGGAGTTCAACAGAAAGAAAGAAAAGCTTCATCCTGAGAGTCCGCTACATAATCCATTTCCACGGTTACCAGTGATTGACAAGGCTACATCCAATATTGTCATCCCACCAATTCCATCTTCTTTTGGACTTCAACTCAGTTCTGAAGCCACACCTCAAGATGATTTCGATGATTTTAAATCAGCCATTCAAGTGTCAACACCATCAGCAGTTACCACAGTTACATCTTCTGATTCCGAATTTGCTGATTTTCAGACTTCTTCTAAACCAGTGCCAAGTTCTTCCAGTACCAGTAATGATTTGAATCTGATAGGAGATGAGGACAAATATGGCGCTTTGCGATCATTGGTACTGGAAGATCCTGCAACAACAACTAAGCCCTCAGAAGCAACAGTTCCTTTTGCACAATTTGACGAAGCTGTTACAGAAAATGAAAGTGATGATTGGGCTGACTTTGCTAGTGCTGCACCAGAAGAAAGTGCTAATAATGGTAACAACAAGAGCTCCGTGTTGAATGTGAACAGTACCAAACAACCTGAAACAGATTGGGCGGATTTTGGAGACACAGTTACTCCAACAGCAGAAACAGTCAATATTCAGCCATCTTGGATATCTTCCAACCCAACTCTTTTGACTCCTACAAATATTATGAGCAGGAGCAGTAACTCTGTTTCATCGACCTCTTTAGCAGGCACTGAAACAGAAGATGATTGGTCAGATTTCTCAACAGCTATCAATCAAGATTCTCAAGCCACACCCTCAAATCCATTGGAAGAAAGTGATTGGTTTAACAGCACTGGGACAAGTGACACAACAACAAGTGTAGTTACTGTGAAGAAAGCATTAAAATCTGATGAAATTCAAAATGTTTTTAAAGTACGCAATGACCCAAATACTCAAGCTAGTTATAAAATCCCAACATTAGAGAAGAAAGTGCGACAAATATCATTGGATGATGATGACCCGCCTCCAATGGATTACCATGACGAAGGGGATGACCATGACATCACACGTGGTTACGACCTTGAAGAATATCATAACCCTTCACCTTTAAGTGGCTATGGTTACTCTAATCAAAATAAAGGAATGTTTTTGAATCAGGTTGCTAAGAAAATTTCTGAGAAAAGTGATCGAGATCGTACTAGTCTTTCACCAGAGACTGAAGATGACAGTTACTCTTCTAAGGATAGCTATAACTGGAAGGGCAAGACTAAACATTTTAAAGAAGATTCTCAATCTATTAGTAGTCTTGAATTACCAACAAAAAGTAAGTAGCAAACCCTTTTTTTCTTGCATTGTACATTCTATTTGCAGAGTAGTGCCTACTAACTTGATTTCCTGATGTTTCAGATATATTTTTTGTAGTCCCAGAAAAGGGAACTCTTTCTAACAACTGTGAGATGCTTGATGTCGTTGTCATTAAGTGTTGGCCATGTAACTGTTGCATACAATTGAATATATAGATATACCTCACATTTCAACAATTCTTAAGTTGGCCTCAATAAACTTATTCAGACAACAACAACAAATAGAAATATTTCAAACTATTTACTTTGATAAGAGATTAGACATTGTATTAATAATTAGTAATAGTTTCATTCCACATAATAGTTGGGTTAATCATTACTCCAAGGTTACACCAACAAAAATGTGTTGTCAAAATGAAATTTCCAATCAGGTAAAAACTATTCAAATTCCAATGTTTGTGATTAATTATTAAAAGCTTCTCTTGTTGGGTTTTTCGGTACTTTACTTCCTGTTATATTGTAGCAGCATCATTAAAAACAGGATCAGATAATGGTGGAAGTGACAGTCAATCTATATCCAGTATGGAGTTTGGACAGTTTGAAAGTTCCTCAAAGACACCAGTTAGTGCTGAATCTAAATCTTTAGATAGTTTGGATTTCCCACAAGATCTACCTGGTGATGGTGATCCTGATGAGACCCTGGAAAATACAGGTATATGATTTATTCCAGGGGTGAACTGAGGGGTCAGACCACTTGGTGAGGATAGAGGGCCTAGTTTGATTAGGGGCCTACATTTTATTTGTAATAATGTGACAGCCTTAATCGCATCCTATGATATTCTCAGTCTGAGTCATTTTCTGTAGAATGAAAATCCTCGACAGTCAGATATACACAAAATGTGTTTATGTTAAGAATGAATTTACAGGGCTGTTACTATTTCTCCCCTCTGCATCTTATGCCATTGAATAACCATTTGATATTTCTAGACACAGTAGACCTAGACAGTAGTATGAATCAATCTACACCAGGTATAAGTAATGGTATAAAACCACTAGCTGATAGATATAATATAACAGATGAAGTAGTGGTAGGTCTTCTCTCTTATTACTCTCTTTGATGACTTCAATTTGGCAAAATGTCCTTAGATATTTTTAGCAGCTTTTGCTATAGTGTATCATGTAGCACTTTGTACTTGAACCACAGACATCTGATGGAAGAATTTAAATGATGCACCATGCAAAACTTTGCTATCAGTGTCCTGTATGCACATAATAAGTTTAGAAAACTTCTTTACAATAGCTAATATATTAGAGATTATACTATATTTATAGACTAGTGATGGATACAGCTATGAATGGGAGAGATGTTTACAGAATTGTTTAAGAATGATAAAAGAATCTAATATTATATTTAACTCTATCAGTACATCTAATGTCTGTACTGAAGTTTTACAGTCATCAAAAGGTTCAGCTTATATAGATGGTAACTATCAGTTATTTTTTGGAAAAAATTTGAAGGGAAATGGTACAATCCAGTGCATTTGATGAAGTTTACAACTCAGGTTCAGAATGTCCTATGTTCCAGCAAGTCCTAGGCTAGGCTTCTGACAGGATTGGCATCTGTCTGATGGATTCTCTGAGCTCATTTAAAGTATTTTTATGATAAATCTTACTTCACCGATATATTACATCCATTTGAATAAAATGGCTGAATGATGCTCTGTACTGTGAATTTCACATTGATATTCATATCTTTAAAAGATATTAATTTTAAGGATACACTCAAAAAGTGCCGAAAGTAGAGTGAAACTATCTAATTCATAGTTGTATATGTATCTTAGAAACAGTCTTTATTAACCAGCCCGGCATTTGATAAAGGATGTTTTGAGGGGTTTCCCAGGCAGACAAAAGGTGATGTGCAAACAGATTATAAAAACAGAACAGAACACTAAGCATTAACAAAAAGTTGAAAATGTGTGTAAGATCTATTATAAGTATCAAGTTATTAAAGAAATGAGTAATACAGTAAAACATGGACTGATGTAGCTATTCCTTCTATCTATCTTCTATCTTTTACCTCTATGTTATTATTTCCAGGTATAGTAGAGATATATAGAGTAGCCTGTAGAGTTATGACAGCTATGAATGCCCATAGTAAGTTTATTCATGAATTATTCTAGTCCAATTTCCCTAATCTTTGTTGAAACATCTTTGATTACCTAAATTTCCAACAAATTATTTGTACAGCTGCAGTATTACATCAAAGTTTGATGATCAAACTGTAGAGAATGTACTTACCTCACCAATCATTTGTTCTTACAATAAAAAGTTTGGCATCATATGAGCCTTTATATTTTTCAGGGATATCAAAGTATTTCTTTTGAAATTTGATTGAAATTTTAACCTGTTATATATCTGGACGTGTATTAAATATTGTCTAATTTATTTCAGATCTGGCCACTCCTCAATTAGAGAAATTAATGAAAGAGATAGATTTAGCTTGGACTAATCTGACAGCGTTTCTAGTTGGTGCTGGAGTATTGGTTAGTATTATGTTATATTTTTTCTTGGGTTTGAACTGAATGTTATTTATAATAGTCAACAAATTATTTTCTTATAATAAGTCAAAAAAAGATAAGTTCTTGTGATATGGTAGCTTACTTCTCATGTTATCTTTCAATCCTGGATAAAATCTTGAACTATGGTATCTGCTTGCCAACTTGTTGATTTTTCATGAAAACAGACTGCATATTCTTTATTCATATTCTTGGTTGCAAGATTTTTGGAAATTTTCATGAAGTTTAAATGGTGCACATTATAGTCACAATTATATAGTATATGAGTTTTTAGAAAAAGTTCCCAATTATTTCTCTCTTAGTTCCCACGTATTCCACTCTATATTTCAGCCTGAATCAAAATCATTTGATTTTAAACATGGTATAATGAAATCAGACTCTGAAGAAGACCAGTATAAATCCTGTGGTGTGTGTTTATTAAACGTTGATACCAGACTGAAAGTGATATCAGGTGTTGAGGATATATCAAAATTATCATACGGTAGGAAACAGTATCATGCTCCCTGTGCTAATTTCTGGGTCAACTGTGTAGACTCTACCTTACCAGGCTTAAGATTACCTGAATTATTATGATTGTAGTGAAATAAATATTTAAGACTGGACTTTTGATAATCTTACATGATAGACAGTTTTAATTATTCTTATGTGAATTGGACTATTTGGTTGACATTTCAAGTTTTTTTATATTTAAGGTCTATGTATGTAGACTTTGTATGTATACTGGGAACAAGTAGTATGAATTTTTACTGTTATAATTTTCAGTCAGACATTTTGTGGTTTTAGAATCCCACTAAAATGAAGAGTTTTATGATGTAACTTTCGCAAATGCCTGTAGATATTGTTAACAGTTTTTGTGATTATCAAACGCTTAATTTTAATGCAATTTCAAGAACCACAGTTGTCTGACTAAAAATTGAAAAACAACTCTATGGTATTTAATTTCTTTGACTCTTAGTAATTTTATTTATGAATTAGTAAAAAATATCAACATTGTCATTAGGCAATGAACTAGCTCAGTTTTAGATCCATTCCGTTTATTAGATAATCTCTGCTCATCTCTGTTTTTTAAGAAAATTATAATCTTAACTTATCTTTATTATTTTTTATTTATATGATATCAAATTAACATCAACTATATTATTTATTTAATGTCTGACCACAGATAAGATATCATTTTAATATGAAATTAAATTGTGATAGATATCATTAAATATCCATTAATTTGCACAATTCTATTTTAAGTTATATTGAGTCATTCACCATTACTAACCCACTAGCTTACTGTATCCTGTACTCTACTTGTGGTCAGTAACTAAGTTCAAGTAGCATATTTCCTGGTGTTATAACTATTTATTTCCTTGATAGGATTTCTTAATCATTTCTATTGATAAATGGTTACTGTTATAGATGGTTTCATGACTTGTAATCGTGACTTTGTTTTTCTTCCTCCTATCAATGTGTGACTATGTACCTGGAAATTCTCTGTCAGTTTTCATTAATTGCATTTTATAGCCAAAGTTCTGTCAGCTGTAAAAGAATTTTGACATTCATTTATTTTATGATTGAGTACCAGAATAATCCAAGTAAAAATGGCTTCAAAGGGCTAGATAGCAGGCCTTTGTTTCTTAAAAGATTTTACACTTACAATTTGTCATGTCTTTTTTAAATACCAGTTATGTCCAAACGTTTGACTTGGTTGGAAGATAAGAATTACACTGACTTTAGGCCAGACTTTTTTATTTAATGGTTCAAAAACTAACAGTATCTATTATTTAAAAAAGAAAATTAACATGTTAAATGAATTCAATATTTGATATTGCTGTTGCAGGCATGCTATTAAAATTTTTGAAAAAAATGACATTTTAGAGCTTGAGTTTTTTTTTTTAAATCTGACAAAATAACAAAATCTGGCCTCAGTCAGCAGATGTGCAATACAATGTTAGATGTTATATTTGAAAATAATGTTAGATGTATTATATAAATATGTTGTAAACAATGTTATATATTTTGTATATTATAAATACTGTATCATTCCCAATGGTGTATTGTATATATTTATTATGGTATAATTTATAATGATCAAATGGTTTTTGTTTTTAACTGTATATATATTGATATGTATGTATTTAAAGCTACATGGTTAAGTTTATCAAAATATCAAACCTAAATCTTTTTGAAGAAAAATTCAGATTGCAGACTATCCTATTTCTTCAACTTGACACTCTCAACATTGAGGAAATTATTCATCAAAATGCTTCTATTAACCTCTGCCTTACTGAGTGAATCTTTATCCAGTTAAGAAATAGTCTGTCCTAGTTTCCAGCATATCAAAAATATTTAGTTGGTTTTGATTAAAACAACACCTTATATTGAGTTTTCACAGCTTGACATTACAAGTTACTATGAATTAATATAGATATAAAATGGGCATTTTTATGTTTGTATATTGAGCAGTATTTATACAATGTTAATATTTTATTATTGATATGATATGAAATGGGATAACAAAACTTAAGAACAATGTGAATCGAAGTGATGTAAAGTCAAATAAATCTATTTTTGCAAATCCGGATCCCATTTAAAACATAAAACATGTGCAGTTTACTTTATTTTTGGAGGGTAAAGTAACTTGTTATGGACGCAGGCTGAAAATTCATTTGTCTGAAGATAGCAACATGATTCAAGTCCTGTTTTAATATTTCTAGTAATTGAATTACATATTTGAATTATACATGAAGTATATAAATCAGACTTATATTGTGTTCTTTACTATTTAAACTACCTAAAAATAAAGTGAGCTGCTCATATTTATGTTTGAAATCAGACCCAGATGTAAAAAATAACCTTGCGTGTCTATAGTTGTTATTTGTTATTATAAATGTAGTTATATTTGTTATTTTGTGTCTAGATAAATATACTTATGCTATTTTCAATCTATTGTGAATTGATATTCATTCAGGAAAGACCAATGCTAAGAGGTCAAGTCTTGGGCTACCGGTAACCAATAGACTGGATTGGAGGAGGTCCCATTCACTCTACCCCACCTCAGTAAAAACAAATAATTATTAATAAAAAAAACAATTATTTAATAAATTAAAAAAATGAAGAAGATGTTTTTGGTTTGGTTTTGGAAGATTTTCAGAAATATTATGTACAATAAAAACAATAGATAATGAAAACAAAAATTAATTATAAAACTATTCTAAAAATGATTGCAAGATTAACACATAAAAATATTCAAAAAGACTAAAAATTTTAATTGATTTTTCCTTGAACATAAGACAAGATACCAAACATATATATATATATATATATATATAAAACAAACAAATACAGATAGAAAACAGCCCTGCATAATATGTACTTCTCTGTCAAATAATACATAATGCTAAGTCATTTAAAAAGTGATATACATCCTTTGGCATATCTAGGGAGGCAGCGACTCAAAGGGGGTGGGGGAGAATTATTTTATCATAAATAATAATTCCCTTATTTTCTCCAGGATACCCCTAGGATGGCTGCAGTATATCAGCACTAGCTTCAATTTCTCATTTGTTTATTGTGTGGCACCTCTCCCAACTATCTTATTCCAAAGTTCTGCAGCAACAACGACTCAAGGGTTATATACAATTGTGTGGAAAGGCAAAAATTAATTAAGAATTAGTAAAACAATCAAAATAATAAAAACAAACAGTTAAATACAAAAAAAAATCACAAACTTTGAATAATTATTAAAAATGTAAAAATAGAAATAAAATATTTGGAATTGAGGCAGTTGATACTATCACAGAAGTAGTCTGTTTTAATGAGGCTTGTTTCCACATAAACCTTTAAACCAAGCTGGACTGTATGTTTTTGGGTAACCATCTACTACTGTTCTGTAGTTAGGGTTGAACTTTCTATATCTGAAATTAAGATAGAAATAATTGTCATTTGCTGTCATATAAAAGTTATATTTTGTTTGATATCATCCCGAGGGCATGGCAAAAAGAAACAAACAATGATACACCTGCAAAATGAATTGTTAACATCTAGGATCATGATGTTGATAGTTTTTCTCAAATAGTCTCTTTTTGTATCTTGAAGACTTGAATAAAGCAAGCCTGTAAAGTAAGCAATCCTGAAAAGGGTTATTGCTATCAGATCCAACCATGAAGGATTCTTGTGAAAAAACCATCTTCAAATCAAACTGGTCTGAGGCTTCTGATGTGTTCCTTATTTAGAATATTGAAATTGTTAACAAATTCCCATTGCAGCATGGCTTACATTTTTCAAATTTTGATAGAAAAAAAATGTTTTAAAATAACCTACTTCATTCCCTTAAAGAAGTAAATAAAGCCATCATTGTGTTGGAAAGCAGCTTCTAACCCATCAGGTACTCCCAACCAGAATCTATTTATAGACATCTGTCTTTTGATAATCTGGGTATTGGGATCCCATTCCCAAAAGTATTTATGCTGAAAACATAGAAGTCATCAGAATGTAAAAAATGTTCTGCTCGAGTTTACAACCCTTAAATAAACTTATGGAATGAAATAAGAGTGTACCTTTTCATCTGTTCTGCATCTTTAGATGCCAAATGTCATTAATGTGCTAATAAAATGAGATGGGAAATGTCCTTTTTCTTGCACATTAATGGGCTAATGAAATGGAGTGTAATGTCCTACTCTCTACCTTAAATGAACTTATAGAAAGAAATAAGAGTGGTGTAACGCTTCATCTGTTCTGCATCTTCAGATGCAAAATGTCATTAATGGGCTAATAAAATGAGATGAGAAGTGTCCTTTTTCTTGCACATTAATGGGCTAATGAAATGGAGTGTAATGTCCTACTCTCCACCTTAAATGAACTTTTAGAATGAAATAAGAGTGTAACGCTTCATCTGTTCTGCAGCTTCAGATGCCAAATGTCACTAATTGGAAAATAAAATAAGATCCATATGTCCACTTTCTTGTACATTAATAGGCTAGGGGAATGGGGTGCTATGTCCAGCTCTGTATCGTAATGGGTTAATGAAATGGGCACGAATGTAGTTCAACATTGGCTATTTCGAATGTGTAACCCCCACTGCTCTGTACCCAATGGACTCAGAAAGACAACACGACAATTGTAACTATGGATTCCATAAAATGCCCAATTCGGGTGAAAAAAGTATATATTGAAATTTTACTTACCCCGAATAAGAACATTGCGTTTTTAATATAATTATCATTATACCAGATAGCAGCGTGAGGTTTTTCTGGAAATTTACTCATATCTATTGTTTTAGGGTATCCACTGTCTAATCTATAGACTGTGTATCGCCATATCTTATCACCTGAAAAATAGGATAAGACATTACTTCATCTATCTTAGCTCCAAGATCACCAAAAGATGATCCACGAATGGCCTACTATGGTCAGCTTTAAGACAAAACGATCTAACGTTTGCCGATATTGCAAAGGGTTGTCCTCAGCTATACCACTATACTTACAGTACTCCAGATCTCGTATTATTTTGGGTTATAATTTTAGAAAGTAAACAACTGCTGCACCACTATTATCAACAAAAGGACAACTGACTTTTCATCAGAAGCTGGTCCACAGTGGTAGTATTTAAGAAAAATTGTCTTCTGAACAATAGTTTTCTCTCCCCGCTTACCTTTAAACATATAAGTTTGTCTTCTGGAAGGATCGTAAACAACTGCTCTAATTCTACTAGGAGCTTCTGGAAATACAGATTTCGTCAGTTTTGGATATCCAGATATCAAGCCATTGTCGTCCATTTTATACACCATGTTGTTTCTGTAACCATATACATAATTTCCTGGTCCTGAAAGATAAAGGGAACTTTATTATATCTTTGAAGTAGGGTGATATCAGAAGTTTTGCCAGTATTGTACGTAGCTCCAATGATGTGTCGAGAATCCAATCAATGCCATATTGTTTTTAAAGAACCACTAGGGCGGTGGAGTAACTCTCCTTATTCTAAGGATTTTTATTGTTTTTGGAGCCTTTGGCATGCGCAATATCCATTTTACTGCCTCGTAAAAACTACTGGAAGCATACAAAATTCTGCCCAGCAAGCTAGCCGATTGACTGTTCTCGGTGCAATGGCAGTTTTCTGTGATAAGAATGCAACTGAAACATTTTCCACCCAGTCTATAGTCAATGTCAATACCGGTACCTACCTAAATCAATAGCATCTAGTTTCATATCACAGTAGTCGGGTGTCTGGGCTGGAGTGGTTGGTTCAGTAGATGGTTTTAAGGTTGGTGGTTTTGTTGCAGTTCCTGGTCGTGGACCTGGTGAAATGAGAATTGATATGAGCATTACATTTGAGGCCAACACTCTAATCTGAACCAAATTATCTTGACAAAATGCTTGATGCTTGACAAAATGACAGTTTTATGTGGTTAGGCTGTTGTCTAATCATATTTCACGTTGTTTCGGATGTAGTTTCATCATCTGGACAAGGCAATTGAATAAGGGGTTTCCTTCCCATCGGAACATAGACAGCGTATGTCATATTGCTTCTGGTAATCTAACGGTATTTAAAGTGATATGTCCCGCTAGGATCCTATCCCAGGCTGCTTATAACTCATTTGGGTACTGCTACCCCTACACCATGAGGGTTATATGAGAATCCTTTGGGCCATTTTCAAATAGTCAGGTTATATGATAATATCGGTGTCTCAGATATATTTGAGTAAGTCGTGGTTACACTTTGGATGGTCCTTTCGCTTAAGAAAGATTGCGTAACATTGTCTTAGGGGTACGGGAATCTGAAGGGTTGGAACCAGAGTTCTTCATTATTAGTTGTCAAATACGGTAATTGTACATACCATAAAGTGACTGAATAGCTCTGACGTCATCGTTGTCTAATTTCAGTTCATCAACATATCTATAATAAGGTGCCATCAACGCTTTGAACTGCTCCGAATGTCCCAGACCCAAGGAATGGCCGAATTCATGGGCAGCAACTATCACTAAATTCGAGCCTTCTTTGCCATGTAAGGTCCATTGCTCGCCCTCGTCAAAATGAGTATCACCATTAATTGGGTAGTCACCGGGGCGGAAAGCATGAGCTAAGGTACCACCTGAAAGTAAAAGAAATTTTCAATAACGAGATATCAGTCTTCCAGAACACATGGTTGTGTCAACCAGAGTAGAGGCATCTGATTCGTGTGCAAAAGGTTCCGCTATTGCTCTACAATACAGATTCAGCCTTACCGAAACTACTGAGGGTTGCTGAATGGAATTCAGAAAGTAGTCAGTGGCCCAGTGTTTTAGTATTATTTTAAAAAATTTATTGGGATTAAATACCTAATGAGAATTTTAAAAAGTTAAAAATAAATTGCTTTTCATTAAAAAAAAAAACAAATGAAAAGTTCAAAAAGTATCAAAATTCTAATCTTCGTTTAAATCTTTACATATTTGGATAAACTTGATGAACTCGATACTGAAGTATTTGAGTAATGTAAAATTTGAGTGACATATCAACTCATGACAAGAGCTGAAATTATTAATGTAATTAAAACTGGGCCGTAATTACTCTTTGATTGTCTCATATTAGGATAATTTCACTAATTTCTTGACAAAATCTGCTCTTTGACACACCCAGTACTTAAATAATGTTATTAAAATGTACTTTAACAAATTAACTGTAGATATAAAGTGTAAAATGTCAATTGAAATAGAATTTTACGTTCGTCTGTTATTCAGAGCAAATGAGATTGGCCTTGCAACTGGCAGAATATGATAGCAACTGGATTTTCATCTACGGCTACACCAAGTAATCAAACAATTTCATTAAAATTTACTATAACAAGTTTACTGTGTAAAATGTCAAATGAAATGAATTTAAAGTCCGTGTCCAAGAGATCAAATAAGGAAAGTGTGCAACTGGTTTTTCAACAACTTCTATACCAATCTGTCGAATAATGGGGTACTTAGTCAATAGTCACGGTTAACGGAAAATCGCATTGGAGGCCTGATGTCCAGTATTAAATACAGACCTGCTGATTGCCGCGTGGTTCATAGTTGACTGAAGATTTATTTCAATTTGAAAAGTCTAAAATTTGTCACCTAAAACTTCAGTGCCTCGCGGGCGAAATATGTCATAGTCATTCTTTACAGTGCAGCAGGTTAAAAATAGCTTTCAGTTTTAAACATATACTTCTTAACAAATGAACTAATTTTTCTGTATTTATAACACGAGACGAAAACATTAACACTGTACACTCTTTCAGCACTACTTATTGAATAACAACACTGAATAAAAACAATTCGATCCTGAATTGTCTCAAAACTTGTCTATCTGGTTTATAATCCAGAGTCAAAAGAATATTTTAAAAGCTTTAGAAGCATTAGTATATTAAAACCATATTAAAACCATTGAATATTGAAGAATCAATATATTAAAAGCATGAGGTGTTGTCTTCTACTGTAAGATTAAAAAAAAACAATCCTGTCATACCATTTCAAGATAATGGATTTTCTTCAACTGTGAAACAAGTTTTGACACATTAATTTCTTAAAGTGCCCCCAGTCGATGTTTAATGTAAATTGTTTTTACTACAAGTGGGGGTAGAGGTGGGGGTGAATGTCCCACTTGACAAATTAAAAGAAATTAAACAGTGAAGTTCGCTTTTCTTATTTCAATACCTTCACTGTAAACGATATTTCACTACATATAAGAGGTAAAACATCGGAACCATTCATGTTTTCATGAGAAGCTCTCTTGATATCCAATAGCTACACCAGTTCAGATGGCGGCCCTGAACTTTGAAAGCAATGCTACATTTACTTAGTTCCTTCTACAGTAGAAACTGTCGGAACATACTGTCACAGTCAATCATATTTTACGACCAGTGGTGACGCTGGGGTGTTTCAACCACCCACCTATCAACCACATCAACCCTCACCCCTTTCACATTAGACATTAAGTGACATATGAGTGAAAACTGTCAAACTATAATGTCACAGTGATTCATATTTTACTATAAGAAGTGACATTGAGTACAGTGTTTGGTCATAATTACTATCAAAATAGTAATATAGAACAAATGTCTAGATGACCTTTAGATTCATAAGAAGAACTTATAACCCTCGGCCACAATCCATTACTCAAAACCCGCCTCCCCCCCGTTCTTTCCGCCCATCCGTGTACGTTTATGCCTGTATTCAACATAGCCCAGTCATGTACACACCAGTAATTTATACTGCACACAATAGTCATCTGTTTATTTAAACCGGGGTAAAAACCGCAAAGTGTTAGATAAAGAATAATAAAATTAAATAGCATTAGATAATGACAGTCCCCTCTGTTGAATCATCCTACAATAACATGCATCTTACAAAACCCCGCTATATAGTCATAGTCCCAAACCTGCTGACTCTCTGATATCTTATACCGGAAGTCAGCGTATATTGAGTCAGAAAATCGGATTTAGAGGAAACAGTAAAAGTAAGTAGGAGCTTGAAAATGGTTTTCATTTGCTTGGTTACGTCGAACAAATAGTGGGTTCTAATCTTAGAAGAGGTGTGAAAGTTTCTTGACCTAAGATAAGTCGACCCAAATCCGGAATAGATCAAACCAAGAGGTATAGCAATAAACCGACTGGAAAAATAGATTCGCGTAAACCTAAGTTATTATCCTTGTAAATCCGGGAAATCAATTTCAAGAGATTGGAACGGATCCTCCTGAACCTTTGTTGGTATCCCTGATTCCTCGCAAAAATTGGTTGTTACTTTTTTTTTAACTTACCTCGACCGTCAAATCTATTACCATAACCATCACCATGTTCACCATGAGCAAATTTAATTTCAATATCTGGGGTATCATCGGTATACTCAAATTCTAATGGCGTGACTTCAGACCAGTATTCTAGAGCTTTCTGAATGGCCAAACTGTAATACAATAAGAGGAATTGTACATGCCTTCATATTCAAATTCGCCATAAATAAGCACTATATTTTATAAAGACCTGCTTACAGAAATTGCATATTCATCTACAAGCTCGATTGAGAGTATTAAACTAGCAATACTGTATGAAAGCATTCAATAATCAATAGCATTTTATGGGTCAACCATGAAAGTTCAGCTTGCGTTCAGCTTTACACCAATTGAGAATTGTAAAATCTTTATTGTTTTTCAATGTGCTGCTATTAAAACTAAAAAGGTTGTAAAACAATATATCTATATACATTGGCAACCATGGGCTTCCATATACTTACATTTGTTCCTCTTCAGATAGCTGTCTTGTATAAGAGGCTGGCTTCCATGTGACCACTTTCTTCTTCCATACAGTACCTACAAGAAATTAAAAATACCAGTTTATCCAATCTATTTAACAATATTACTCCTCTTAACATAGTGCTAGATACATCTATTGTATCAAAAGCAATATAGACATATGAATATTTCTAGGATGTATTCCAATTGAAATTCTTGAACTAAAATCTTTTATTTAATTATCAGATCAATGATAGCATAAATGGTGTTCAGAAGAGGTTTTCTACCCATGGTTTGTGTATCAATGATATCTGTTATTTCAGAAAAGGACCTATTAAGATGATGAAATGACCATGGTAAATACTATTTGAGTCAAAACCGTAACAGTAAATTTGCACAAAACTTGTTTAATAGCAACCTAATATTTAAAATGTTTGAATTTGTGCCATTCTTTAATTAGGCTATAATTATAAGTAGTCCCCAAAATATAGTTGAACCATTCAGACTTACCTAGTGTAGTGAAAGCTTGAGGAGATGTAGGATCGAAATGTTCTGATGTGTTCCTAATAATATCAGGAAAACCACATCGTGGTGCCTTCATTTTGGTAACAGTTGCAGCATCTAAATATCCTGTTTGTTCCAAGCCAGTAAACTTCTGGAAATCTCTGAAAGACAGAAATGACTCAGGATAAGATGAAATGAAATGAAATAAAATGAAACAAACGGACGGACGGGCGGACTGAAATGAAATGAAATGAAATGAAACGAACAACGAAACGAAGGAATGAAAATATTTTTTAAAAAGAATTAGTACACGTTATTAAAAAATTACAAAATGCATTGTTTCTATTGATCGAGAACTAGCAGTGATTATCTTCGTTTTTCAGTCAAGAGTCTTGTCGGGGTCTTTTGATAAAACAATTTCAATACATTTATTGACTTACCTAATGGATTGCTTAATCTCATATTCTGAATGTTGTTTGTATTCATCATCAGCGACTTTTGGTGCTAGGTAACCAAATTTGGTCAAAAAGTCCTGAAAAGTAAAACAAATTATTGAGCCTTGTTGTACAAAGTTTTGAAGGAAGTATTTTTGAGAAAAAAGAACATAATCCATCTAGTTTTTTTGGTATAAAATATGAAGATAGTGAAACAAATTTATTTAAATCAAGAATTCTGTCTTTGTTTTACAAAGTTTTAAAGATTTTGAGGAAGATAAAATAATCATTGTCAAATTTCATGCTAATTATGAAAATGCATGATTGAAATTATGTTATATTCTATATTCATGGTAAAGGCAAATTATTTACAATTCATGATCTGAATTAATCATGTAAAATTATTTACAATCATATTCTTTTTAAAGCGTATTATAACTTTTTCATAATTTTGAAAATTAATGATTTCAAGTTCTTAAAACTTATTGTATTAATTCATGATTTGGAAAATTCAGGATTTAAAATAATTTTGAGTTTGTGGATGATTTAAAATAGGATAGTTTATACTATGGTTGAAAAAAAACATGAAATGTAAGAACTTACCACGGAATCAAATAACTGGACTGAATTTTCTTCGTTTTCTGGATTAAGGTGTTTAATAATTCCACAATTTACCGTTACCAAAGTAACGCATACTAATATAAATAGTGGTTGTAACATTATGTTATCTCTCTTTAAAGTATACAATATCTATTAAATATTTTACTACAAAACTTACTCGAGTAGAAATTTTAGATTCAATTATTTTATGAATGAAAGTACCTTATATTTATATTCAGCAATTGACTTTGTATTGGCCAATCAGGGAACTGTTATTTATATTTGGCGTGTGTCATTGCGGATGCCTCACCGAATCGGAAGTTCAATTCCGACTATATTTGTGTACCTATTGAATATAAAGTATGTAGAATGATAAACGCTCAATGAAAACCACTGAACCGTGTTGTCCTATTTTTAAATTTGATGAATATGAAAATGAGTTAATTTTGAAGGGGTGGCATGAAGTCACGCGAACAAGACGCGTGACACTCGTTTCGAATGTATCACAAAGCAGCGATGCATCTGAGCATATTCGAACGGGAGAGCAAGGGGATTCTTGTCCAATGATTGTGAATCCGAAGAATCTGCTGTTATGAATTAGGCCTAATAGCATTGGTCTAAAAAATACTTTTTTGTCCATGGGAGGGGTGAAGGGGAGTTTCGGGGGCTTCACTAAAGATCATATAAGTGACCTGGACTATCAAGTGTGTTGTTCTGGAATACTAACCATGAGTTAGTTATTAAAGTCAATTTCGGTCAATTTTCAGCCAATTTTCAATGACTTGGGATAATTATTAATCCCTTGAAACCTGTTTTTTTGGAAATAGCCTTAGCTAATTTGAGAATTAATATCGATTTGTTCCGCTTTGAACAAGAAGTAAATTGAATTTCACACTCCTTAGTCTCAATCGGAAGGTAATTGAATAGAATGTACGGTTGGTTGTGCAATATTTTTTAATTCATCCTGGTTTTATTAGAAATATGAAATTTAATAACTCGTCATGCCTGACCGATATCTGGGTCCGAAGGTCGGAGAAATGGACGGTTCGGGTGCATGGTGAATAAGTCAACCAAACCCTGCACCAATTTCTAGTAATTTGTACCTTACCGGAAGTAAACATTCAAGCATGAAGCAATGCGTGTGTTCGATCATGAAATGAAGTAAATCAAATATGATCAAAAACATGTACAGTATATATATATATATATATATATATTTGGGTGAGTTATGACCAAATATGGTATTTTTTAAGCATTCATTAAGCGCTTTTGAATAAAGGTTACATATAGCTCATTAGTATATCATTCAAATGATTTCTGGATTTTGCTGGACCGTTTAGTAAAATACTTGGTATAGACGAAATCTTTATCCGTCTTACACAAGATACTCATTCCGATGCAAGCCAGCGCCTCAGATCTTTTATTTTGAAACCACATGTTTCATATATCTGTCATGAAAGATCTTGAGTTTGGTATTCTAAATTGAACATTTCAACCCGTTAAAAGTCCTTACACCTCTAAGGAGGGGAAAAGCTGGTCCAGGTTTCGACTGTATTTCAAGAATTGTTTTATCAGTCAATCGGCTTCCTCTGCGGTACTGGTAGATACCCCCGATACCCCTAGCTATAGATGTACTAGTTTGGAACCAAAGTATTGTGCCACAGTCTTCGTAGCGAGCTTCGAATCCACACGACTTAAAATACAATGAGCTGTACCTTTAATTTGAAGGAGTAAGGAAAGTAAATAAAAACATTATATAAGTCCATAATAAAAGGATAACTATCTACTGCAATGAATGATAATGAGTCAGGTGTGCTTTACAGAAACTCTAATACACTCCTTTTGGTTAAAGGGATTCTATGGTAGGTTTTTATTCTTTGTATGTGTCCTGTGTAGTGGACACATAGTTTATATTTGCACCATTTCGATTTCTTACGTTTGCTTATGGCGTTTCAATTCCAACAGACACCAGAAAATATCCCAAGTGAATTCGATCCTAGAACATTTTTTAAATGTGACGTCATACTCTGTGTTAAGCGACTATGTTCGGTATCCCTTTACTCCGCGTTTTTCGTACCTGATTTGACGGACATCGCCATGCAGTGTGCAAGTAATGGGAATAAATTCATTCTAATAATCTTCAAAAATTCAATTCGTGGGCATTCGGCAGTTTATCCCAACCGTCTCTTCCTTGTACCTGTATTAATATTCTTTTGAAAAGAGAAAACATTGAATAACAAACAAAATATAATGTTTTGATTTTTTAAAATAGTATGTAGGAGTTTGTTATCGTCCGGGATGGATGCTGTGGGTTTGTTTAAACAAAACATTTCATGGAAAAGGCAATTCATAAACTAAGAAAAAGTCACACACGCACAAATAAACATTATAGTGTTTGGTTTACAAAGAAATTTAGAATATTATTGGCATTTCTGTAATTTTATTTGTTCACAATGAAGGGCTTGTTTGTATTCAACTCAAAATTAGTGTACTCCCTTACCGATGTAAAATGAACAATTTAAAGTTGAATTGTTGAGAAATCGGGCGAGTTATTATTTAATTCCAGATCAGCATAACAGAAGAAAACTAATCAACCGTTCGAGACCTATCCCATTTTTTTAACGCAGTATTTGTTCCAGTCTACGACTGTACATTTAGGAAAATAAAACAGTACAGCAGGATGTAAGCACTTTATTTACACGTTTATTTTTCCAAGAAGTTGGCGGTTGCCCCATCCAATCCAAAGTTCTGCAACATCCACTGGTTTCAAAGTCCATGATCAATGACATTAGCGATCAAACATTTTGTTCAATATCTTGTTAGTGGAGTTGTTGATGGTTGACAATGACAGAATTCTCGTGAAACTATATTGTTAAAATTTACTGTTTGTTTCTTTCTTCCATTCTTTCTTTCTAAAGTCTAGATGGCAGATTAAATCAATCTGAGTTCAAAATCAGTAATGAAAATCAATCTGACACTAGTTACAAATACAAATACAAAATATAATACATTACAAAACATTACAATACAAATTTAATTAGACGCAAACTTTCATTTTTTCCGTTTTTATAAGCTTCTACTTAAATACTCCAGTTGATGTCTGACAACCCCTTGCTTATTTCTTCGCATGAATAATTTTTACCCTAACCTGATGATGAACATCCTATTACATAATATTTAAAATGACAAAATCAGACATGAAATTAAATTAGAAATTGACAGAATGGTATTACTGCAGATTCTAATGGCCGCATGTCGTTCAAATCAACTTCTAGAACAGCACCACTTCCGGTTTCATTAATAACACACCCACCACAATGGCCGCCACAGTATCCGGTTATCACGTGACCATCCATAGTCTTGGTGATGTTGATAATGATTGGAGAAAGTCCTACAGTCGTCCAAGCCAGGGAATCTGTGAAGCGGAACCCCGTCCCTCTGGTATCCACGACAAATTTTCCAAGTGCTCCACATGTATCTTCACCTCTGGCGTAACAATCTCTGGCAACCCCGTAGTTCAAGCTGGTTAATGTACTGTTTGAAAACCGTCTGGTGTCGGTGAAGACTTTAAACGTGCCGAGATCCAGTCTTATTTTTTGATATTCAGTGATTCTTACCCCACTCTCCGCTGAGGTATCAAGCGTCGTTTTTTCGCAGCTTCCTTCTGCTCTGGTATATCCAGGAAACGTTGCCATATTGCGATAATTGAGACTGATGAAGCTACCGGATCCCTTTTTACAGTAGATTTTTATCAAGGTTTGGGACGTGGTGTAAAATAGCCAGTAGTCCTCATCTGTTTGGTTACATGAATAAACTTGATAACATAAAGATATCCGTTTACAGAAAAAATCACTCCATTCCCCCTTCTCGGTACAAATCGGGTTTTTTGACGGAAGATATCCGCTCTGACAGGCATACTGCACCATTTCATTGAATCCCCACAAAGCTTTCGCTTCAAAAGATGACACATTGACAAAATCATTTTGAGGAACAGCCGTGCAACCAATAACTTCACACATAAAAGAATCTGGTAATTCACGACATATGCTGTTATTCGGACAACTATGATGTTTACACGCACCCAACAGCAATTCACTCCAATTTTCCATATCTATCAAAATATTTTGAGAATCGTATTCAGTGTTCGATGGAGTTGGTTTTTGATTCATAAGTTGACATTGGTTAGTTAGTCGGTCAAAGTTGACAGCTTTACACAATGAGTACAATTTACAATATTGTGTACATTTCAGAATTTCAGAATCAAACGTTGAAAACGGTGTACCAGAAAGTCGTGTATTAACAATCATATTTTCCAGTAGTTCTTTTTTGAAACACTTATATTCGTGACTTCCATAATGGTTCAGCAGGTGACACCAAATGATAACATTCCAAATACTTCTGTAATCCATTTTGAAATGCTGTCAGTCTCTACAACAATATATGAATGTCTTGCATGAACCAGGGACCATTACCAAATCAATGACGATTATTGTATGATTAGGTATCAAAGTCAATTTTCATGTTTTCTTTTAGTGTATTATATAAAGATTTAATCGCGTGCTGGGTTGTAAAATCAAAAGTCTATAAAATGAAAACACAAAATTTTTTCCACTTCGTCCTCCACAGTTCACCATTTTCGGAGTTCAATCATTTTTAAGCTGATCTAATCAGTGTTTACAGCATACCGACGAACTTTTAGCCTTTTATGCCACACGTGTTCATAATTATCCGTGTTTGAAAATAAGATTGACGACTCGACGTTTACAAGACTCTGTCATAATGTAGAATGGTTAAGTACTGGATAATCAAATTTTATCCGTAAATGATAATTCCTAGAAAGACCTTATAAATATGACAAACTTTTTTCGGGTACCCCAATTTTCAGGTAGCGAAGATTAAAATAGTTTTCATACGTCACAAGACCTTTTACATCTATTCAAGGTCCGAAACAACCTCCGAAAACTTCTTCTTCTCTTCTTCTTGTTGGTGGATGGTGTCCGCTTCGGAGAAAAACTGTGAACACGGCGTTAAAGCCACTAATGGCAATTAAGCCAAGCATCGAACAATGTATCTATGTAACCTTTATGGGAAGCTTCTTTATATCGATTTTTTTCTACTCTATAATCTACGTTTTATTGTTCCTAAATACTTCATTACTATATCGTATAATAATCATAGTTAAAGTTAATGGGAATAGTTCACATAAGATAATCGATTATACACTGTTAAAATTATGTGTAACGTGTCACTCTCTACGGTGGAAGTTTTACACCTGTTGGAATGTTTAGTGCTAATTACCTGCCACAAAGTGTTACTCGTAATGTAAAACGGAGATATTTGACCATTTAACATCCGTTAGTGTGTAACATGAGTGCAATTATCAGCGTTAAGTGTTTCCACTTATTTAGGTGTAAAGTCTGCTTATAATTTCCACAGTGTAGTATTTACAGCTAACCGTCGATATTGGACAACTATGATGTTTACACGCACCTAACAGCGATTCACTCCAATTTTCCATATCTATCAAAATATTTTGAGAATCGTATTCAGTGTTCGATTGAGTTGGTTTTTAATTTATAAGTTAAAATTAATTTATCGGTTAGTTAGTCGGTCAAAGTTGACAGCTTTACACAATGAGTAAAATTTACAATATTGCGTACATTTCAGAATTTCAGAATCAAACGTTGAAAACGGTGTACCAGAAAGTCGTGTATTAACAATCATATTTTCCAGTAGTTCTTTTTTGACACTTATATTCGTCACTTCCATAATGGTTAAGCAGATAATAAAAAATGTAAATGATAACTTTCCACATTATTCTGTTATCCATTTTGAATTAGTTCCTCTCAGTAAGATGATAATATAATACACTGAATATCTTGATTTTGACAAAAAGGCCCGAAACTTCGACGTGTTTGATTTGCTTAAGAATAGAAGCCAATTTTAACTTTTTTTCTGTGTGTATTGTATGTTATTCACTAGCGAGCTTTAATCTTAAATAAATTAACATATTCATCCGTTTTAGTATAAATTTTAGAATATTGAAACCAGCTAACAATGAATGTACGTATATCATTGTGTTAGGGGTGTTTTTTTAAGGAACCATCTATAAACTGCGGTGTATTGTCTCCTCTTCTTATAGCATGTTTAGTTCGCATCAGGTTCACGCCCCCGTCTTTTCCGTAAAGCACACTGATACCATAGCCTCCATAGAGAAAGATCACCGGATTATTACGTTACGATTCATGTACGTTGGAATTGTTTGAAAGAACGTTTGAATTAAAAAAGAGATATTAGCCCTTAAACACGTTTCTAGGATATGATATACGGATGGGCTATCGTCACTATAAAGACTATAGACACAAAATGTCACCAAATAGCTTTTTGGCCATGTGATGGGTGGGGGTAGTTGTAAAAAGATCTTTGCTCATAAGTCCAACCAGTCAGAAATAGTTTGCTCCTGGTATGGTGATTGTCAGTAAAGGGAGGTAACTACAATTTCCACTTGAATCCCATTTTAAACTCTGACTTTTCTCTTTTCGAATGCTGAGGGGTTTTAATATAAATACATTGTCATAGTTTCTGGATGTCGTAAACGAACTGCGGACGACTTAAGTCACAAAGGTTATTTTTTCCGTGTACTTAGTGGATGTTTTTTTTTAGATATTTATATTTGGCTGTTTTGACATATTTAAAACGAACCAATTTAAAGGGACAGGTAGACAATTTTCTTATTGACCAACCATACTTTAGTCTCAGAAACTGGAATTTTTTAGCTAAGCCAATCAGTAATAGTGTTCACAGCTCACCCTCGAAATTCGAGCCTTTAAATCCATGTACGTCCAGAATTATCTGCGTTATATATATAGAAATTGTGAATAAAATTCCTAGTTTGAAGTATTTTTAAAGGAATTATGTGATTTTCGTACATTTCTAGTACTTCTAGAGACTACTTATATTTATTCCAGACTAAAATCACCTCTGCCCCTTTAATTCCTGGTTAGTCTATACCCTTGTAATCCTACCTTTTTCAATAGAATTATATGAACATTTGAAATCACTGCAAAAAATTCACCTTCTTTTGTCATGCGCGAAGCAGACCATGTTTTCTCTTTTCACACCTGATGATACCACTGTACTATCTTTACTGCCGCTTTTGCTATTCTGTGCACGAGATTTTTTATTGAGGAAATTATCTTGCTTGTATGGAATTTTATATATTAGGCACAAATACACTGAAACCTATAGTGTAACCATTAACGTTGCATTGGCAATACAACTTAGATAGATAAGACTCTTTAATATGCGTCTTCACACAAACTATAAAGATAAGTAGATAAACAAATGACATGCCCTGGAGACTTTTATTTTTTTTAAAGATTTTATTGCGTCGATTTGACAACCGCATTTTATCACTTGTGTGAAATTCCGTTGATATATAGAGGTAGATAGTCTCTATCATCCAGACTACTGTGATTTTATTCGCCAAAATCGTTGATTCATATTGACTGATCGGACTATTGAGAAATGTTTCTTGATATATTTCAATGGTGGCATAACGTTGAGTTTTATTGAGGAATTCGATTTTAGATAATTTGTGGCAGTTTGATAGTCGTTGTATTTATTAAGTCTTGATGTTGGAGTCTACAGTAAATGTAACAGGTGTTGAAATCTTATCTCGACTCTGGTTGGTTGCAATAAAGACCTGATATTCTCGAGATCGTTGATTGGTCAATATAAAGGGGGCGTGAACCAATCAGAGTCTTTAGACCTGTTGATCGAGAAAAACTGCATTTGTGGCAGCTACAACGTTAAAATGGTGCGTAAATATTTACTCTCTGCTTTTCCTATTAAAAGTAACTCTTTTTGTTGATTAACGTTTGAAATAATTGGTATTCTATTTATTTTTCAGACTACCTACACAGACAAAGGACCTAAGGTGAGTGTCATTTTATTTTAACAGAGAAAAACTGAAACATCTTTGCTGGCTATTTTTATTGACTTTCTGAAAAGTAGGTGACCTTGACCGTTATTCTGCTCTACTTTTGTTTTGCACATTGCACGACTTACATTTTGTACTTTTCAGCCGGAATCCGGTCGATTTTTATGTTTTGATCATGTTACATTTTGGGTTGGAAATGCCAAGCAGGTAATATAACTTTGAATTTACTTTTAGCTTTGACCTTTTTGATGCTCCAGATTGTTATTTCGTACCTGAGCAAACATGATGATGAAATGATAGGGGAAAGCTGGGTATTTTGGGACATAATGTTTATGTTCGAACTAATACATTAATATGTGGAGGTGTATGACTTAAAGTAGACATGTTTGCAATCATAAAGCATATCAATCTATGATATATGAATTCTTGTTTCTTGATGTGTATTCTTCATAAGAGTTTTGTAGGCCACATGAAAATCAAGTTTGCCTAATAACAGGTTACATCTGAATGGGATTGGGAAATGAGATATTATTTATTATGAAGAACCAGGTTTACTGAAACACTCTATCTCTAGGTATACCAGTGTTTGAAGTGATAGGGAAAACTGGGGGTTTTGGTTACCTGTGCTATAAATCATACCTCTGCATTATTATTATTTGAAGTATTTTAATATTTTGTAACTGAGTTATTCAATCAAAATCAATTGTGAAAATGTATTTAAAGTCTCTAAAAGTGGTTTTATGGATTTAAAATTTAGAGTATGTCTTGATCAATGAAATATGTTTAAAATATGCTAATAATGTTTTCACTCAAACATATATAATATAATCTCTAACTCTGATGTCTATAAGAGATTATTGATATTATAATACTACAGCATGTCACCTAACAGCAATTAACTCTTGTAGTTTACAACACGGTCTTTTTAAAATTAAATCAAACTTTCGTTCTGTATTTTTATTAGCTTTTATTTTTAATGTAGCCAATTCAGTTAGGGTCTCTAGACAGAATGTTTGTAAAATTAACCTTTGGACCTAACTCTAACCAATCAAATTTCTACCCTCTCCAGCGCTGGCATTTCGTGATTATGGTGTTTATCAGGTGATGTTAAAAGGTAAATTTGACAAACTTTTAAGAGGGCTGTCATTAAACCCTAACTGAAGTGGCTATATAAAAATGAAAGCTAGTAAAAAAGGAACTACAGTTTGGTCTAATTTAAATAGACTGTTTATAACAGGTTTATAAGGTTTAAGGAAGATTGCTTAATTGCTTTGTATATCAAACCATGCTTTAACTTAAGCTTTAACAGAACATACTACCTCATCTAACTTAAGTTTAGCTCAGTCAGCTAGTAAGGCATATATAGAGACTACAAGATCTCTTCAATGACAAGCTTATTATGTTGTCCTACACTATGATAATATATGGCTATTAAATTATGAATAATTATAATAGTTCTCTCTAATGGGCTAACAATTATAATAAATAATAGTGGCCTGTCTAATATTAACTAGGTGAATTTCATGCCTCATTTGTAACATTCACAATTTCAAGTTTTACTACATAAAGAGAGGTCAAAATGAAATGGATTTTACTAATTGGGCTAATACTGATGGACAATACTGTAATTTGGGAAGTTTGTCAGCACAGAAGCATTAGATGATTCCTTTGCAATTTCAATCTATCCAGCACTTACATCACTTAAATCAACAAAATTAATAAAATATATACAGTGATAAATTCTACTCGACAGTAAGAATCGGACAGAAATTTCCCTTATTGTACACTAGATGGTGTTGCCTGGCTTCAGTAACATTATCAGGTGCAAAAAAACTAGGACAAAAGAATTTCCTTTCATTTCAGCTTGAGGAAGTCAATATCACATTTTCTTAGTACATGTCAAAATATATGAAGAGATTTATTCAAATACTAAAGATTATAGAGGGATTATGAGTTATTATATAATATAGGTGACACAAGTCTCAAACTAGCACAGATATTTCACATATATATTCTTTAGTAAAGTTATAGTTTTGATACGTTAATAATTAGAATAAATCTAGAAAATATAGTTTAAAAGCCTGAAATTTAAAAAAAAAAAGAGAACCTATTTTATAATCCTTTTTTGACATGTGTTATTTAAAAAATAATATTAATAACTTGATTTCATTGGCCTTGTGCAATGTTTAAAATAATTATTAAAAATGTTTTTGGAATGTGTGGTTTTCTCACATTTTGACATTTGCTACTAAATTTAAAATTATATCCTATTTAAATACTGAAAGAATGTGTCAAAATTTTACATGATTGACTTTTTGAAGGTTAATTTTAAAATTAAATTTCAGCTCAATGTCAAATAGATCCAGTATCATATTTTACAATATCATATTATTTCTATTTCAACTTTTAATCTGATATTTATAAAAAATGTTTGGTAGGTCATATAAAGGTGATATAATTTAAACAAGGGTGATATTGATGTAGGTTATGATAATAATACAATTATTTCATTGAAATATAGAATTGAAATTATATTAATGACATCATAGAATCATATTAAAAAAAAAAAGAAACATTTAGATGATAAAGTGGAAACAAAGCTATCAATATAAGCCAAATATAAACAAATTCTTTTAATCATAGTGAGGAGATGTGAGAAATTTGATTATTTATTTTTAACCATTCTGTCATTGTTTCTCAAATGATGCAACGAAACCAATATTTGATAAATGTTTAGGATATCATTTCAGAATATACAAAAATGTATCATGGGACTTTTTTATGCACACTGCTTGTGTTCGTATATTCTCAATATGTGGACCAGTAGGGGGAGGAGAAGAAAGAGGGGGTCATGTCTTGTGATCTGCACTCATTTATAATTCTCTAAAGAATAATAAACACCTTTGAAACTGCAGACATATGACTTATATGACGTATGCCTTATAAGTGAAAGATAATTAAGCATTGAGATTTATTTCTCTTATGAAAGTTTTAATATATATATATATTTTTTATACAGGCAGCATCATTTTATTGTACACGTATGGGATTTGAACCCTTGGCTTATAAAGGGCTGGAAACTGGCAGTCGTAAAATAGCAGCTCATGTTGTTAGACAGAATAAGGTGAGTCCTGTCTTAAGTTATTGTTTTATCTATTATTAATTAACATCACTATAGCCTTGGTTCCCAAACTGGGTTACTGGTGCCCTCTAGAGGTATCCATTAATGTCATTGAGCGTCACTGAGAAATAACTTAGATACTTTTACCAATTGTCTTTATATTTGGAATGTTTGCATATAATTAATGATAGTAGTTCATGTAGGAATAAGGTCCACAGAAATGTATATATCTGTTTTCCTTGTAGATTATTTATGTATTTGCCAGTATGTTAGAGCCCTTTCAACCTGAAGGTAATAAAACTTATATTTTTGCCAGAATTTTCATCTGCAATTGCCGAATGCAGTTGTTCTGTCAATTTGACCCATTGAAAGATTCAAAGTGAAGAACAAAGTGTCCTTTTGATCATAATTACTGTCACATATTCACAAAACTATCTTAGCACTAGGATACCTTAGAAACATTGTTAGAAGTTAAGTCCCTAGAGCATTCAAGCGGTAAGATCAATTGAGAATACGTGGCCTGGTTGGAAAAAGCAATGAACTACAGAGACAAAAATATATTTGAAAATTTTTGATGGGTGGTTATTAATAATCCTTTAATAGTAGTTTAGATTGATAAACTGATAACGTATGTATTGTTTGTAGAGTGTGGTCAACATCTATTAAAACATGGTGATGCTGTGAAGGATGTAGCATTTGAAGTAGAAGATTTAGATGCCATCTTTAAGGTCAGTGATATTTTGTCATATATTCATTCTTCAAAAAGCATAGATTCTTTGAGATGTTTCCTTATAACACATGTGGTCTATAATCAATATTGGTATTTAACTACAAAAAAATCACCCCCCTTTATGAAGTTTACTGAAGAAATGTTTTGGGAAGGAAGAACTTAGATATTGTATTTGCATTTATATTACTTTATAATTTGTTTGTTCATTGGTTACGATTCATCCTATTTTCTATTTTTAGAGAGCCGTCGAAAGGGGGGCATCTGTAGTGCATGAACCTTGGGAAGTATCAGATGATAATGGCTCAGTAAGAATGGCTACTATTAAAACTTATGGTGATACAACTCATACATTTATAGATAGATCACGCTATACTGGACCTTTTCTACCAGAATATAAACTCATCAATGATAAAAAAGATCCTTTATTGACAAATCTGTAAGTTAATGTTACATTCTGGGGTCGTGTACTCTTTAGGGGACTTCCAGCAGAATCCTGTGAAAAAGACATTTGGCTTTGAATCAAAAGATCAAAAGGGAATACATTGATTGATTTCTTTAGAGTTTTCAGTAAAAAATATGCTTAGTTTGATTAAATCCTGCGATGGATCCCGCCCTGTCATGTCTTATTTGGAGCTCTAATCAAACAAGTTTGGCAAATTCAGATAAATCAACAGCCTTATTATGTTATATGTACAATATATATGTATGATATTGTCATGTTTCAGGCCAGAGATTGGATTATTATTGATAGATCATATAGTAGGAAATCAACCTAATGAATGTATGACACCAGCTACAGAATGGTATGTAACTTTTCTCATTATTTAGATACTTGTAAACAAATTTTAATAGAAAAATACCTTAAATATCCATTCAAATGAGAATCTTAAGAGCTATTATTGAAATTATAGAAATAAAAATGCTGCCTGTTTGAGCAAATGAAAAGGTGTCTTGTCGTTCGGATGGGACAATAAACTGAGGCCCCTTATGCAACAGGCAGTACACATTACAAATCCCACACCAGTACTCTGTGACCAAGGCTAGTGCTTTCATTGAGACTCGTCTCAATACACCAAAACACCGGCCAAGTAAAAGAGTAGCTAATGTCACTATCCTTGCTAAATTTTCCCATTGCATACTGTGTGGTGTGGCCTGGCTTCATAAGTACCGGTGCAAGTAAGTGGTATATACCAAATATATTTTCATGTAAGATAACATTTTTGCTCATTAGATTCATATTTTATATTGTTTTTCTAGGTATGAGAAGAACTTGATGTTCCATCGTTTCTGGTCTGTTGATGACAAACAAATTCATACCCAGTATTCAGCTCTACGTTCTATTGTAGTCACCAACTATGAAGAAACTATTAAAATGCCTATCAATGAACCAGCAGTAGGCAAGAGAAAGAGCCAAATTCAGGTACCTGATGCTCCTTAGCAACTGAGTTTTCACATCCTGTTTTGATAGTCCAATAGCCAGAAACAATACTACACCTTCTCTTAGTATGATTTATAAATTCAAGTTTGTTTTATTTTGCCAATTTGAAAGAACTGCCAAATAAGGAGTGTATGGAGTCAACACCAAGGGAGATAAGAGGATTTGAGGATAACAGTTCAGCTTCGTACAAGCTGAATTAATATTTCCTATTTTGCATTAGAAAAGAGAATTGGTTTATTTAATGCTTTGATGTGTTGAGCTATGATTTTATGTTAATATGTTTGTTATTTATAGGAATATGTGGACTACAATGGTGGAGCTGGGGTACAACATATTGCTATGAGAACCAATGATATTATTAAATCTGTAAGTTAACATGCCTACTTTTCTTCCCCTGAAAAAGTAATGACATGCAGTTTGCAATGAGAATTTTGTGTACCAGGCCAGCAACAATAGTCTTAATGCAAAGAATATAGCATAGAGGGTATCTGTTTATTTCTAATCCATAAGGTGGGTCAAAAGGTATGACTTCTGTTTTTATGTTGGGATATGTTTGTATGTATCAGGTGCTCTGTATATTTGGATGATTATGTTTGTAGATTACAAATTTGAAAGCTCGTGGTATGACCTTCTTAGAAATTCCACCTACTTATTTTAAAAACTTGAGAAATCAGTTGAAGAATTCTAAAGTTGAAGTAAAGGAGAATCTTGATGAGGTAGGACATGTTTATGATGATTTTGTTTTTTATCATGGTTTTTACAGCTTGATATTATAGTTCTGAAATGTGTTAATTTAAAATTACTTAGATTTAGAATTATTAGAAATATGGACTTATAGCAAATCATATCTACTTTACATGTAAATAAAAAGATTTTAGAAACAAATTTATACAGTATAATTGTGTGTACAGTGCAGATATTTTTAACCAAAATTGGCTCAAAACGTTGAGGTTATTGTGCATTTTGAACACTTTTATTTCAAGTTTCAGAAGAAAATGTTTAATAGTCTGCAAATAAAGTCACAGAATAACCACCAGAGAGTCAAGACATTGATTGGTCTATTCACTGACTTCACAAGCAATAAGGTGCATTATATTTTCATATTACCATGGTTACATTTCAGCTTCAGAGACTGAATATTTTAGTAGATTTTGATGATGATGGCTATCTATTACAAATATTTACCAAACCCATGCAGGATCGTCCTACATTATTTTTAGAGGTTATACAGAGAAATAACCATCAGGTAGTACCATATCCTTTGATACCATTATATTGTTTCATTACATGCAGTGATTCCAATTAACATTCCTCAGCCAATAGAAGACAGTCAATTTGTCATCTTGACTCAACATCCATGAATGTCCACAACAACACTTAGATCTGGCCGCGTAGTCTTGAAACGATCTTAGCGCTAGGATGTCCTAGGGTCTTTACTTATTACACTGTTTCTAGGATATCCTAGAACTAAGAGAATACGAGGCCTGGGCTTTAATTTGGGACAAATTAAGATTATTTAAAACAAGATACATGTATATTAAGTGAAGTGTCTATCATCATATTGCTATTAATAACAATCCTGAACTCAATGTTTACTCAAAAGTGATAGCTTATTATTTTCTTTAGGAAAAGACACGGGTGTCACATAAATTTTTAAGTGCTTTTCATCCTTCAAGGATCAAATTAACATAGTGGATACATATACACATTTAAATTTTGTCTGAGAACTTTTTCTCTAATCAGTTTTTAGAACTAGTATGATTTTTGTGCTATTTTTTTCAGGGATTTGGGGCTGGTAATTTTAAATCATTATTTGAAGCTATAGAAGCAGATCAGGCAGAACGGGGCAACTTGTAAACTGTGGTAGTCCTCACAATATACAGTATTATAATCATATTAAGTATTAAACATGAGCTTTAAGTTTTAACACTAGTCACAATTAGGTCTGATCCATTTCTTGCCTTATATGATTTTGTTCTTAATTCTAAAAAAATAAATGTAATAAAACCTTAAAGCTGCTATGCTTTGACAAAAATGACATTTTTCATAAATTTTCAAAAAATATTTTAATTATAGCCTAACCATATTTGCTTATCTTTGATATTTAAAGCTGCATTGGTCAAGTATTTTGTAAATTCTTTACCTCTTGCTATGTTAAATACAGGGATCTGTTTCCATTCTGTTTTTTTATGTGTCATGTCAGCTTTAAGAATATGTATCAATGCTTGAATTATGATTAATTAAAATTTATTCATATTATCTAGTCTAACCATTAAATGCTATTACCATGAGAGTATTAACTAGTATTAAAACCTGCTAAATTACTGTTGAATATAAGTATTAGCAAGTTAAAGTATATTACCAATACTTGGCTTCCAAGAAGAGACTGAGATTCCTTTAATTATTGATTTCAACAGTGTTGTAAGACATTTTGACTGACTGTTTAAAACACCTGTCAGAAAAGGTTAAAGGTCATTTTATGCCAACCCTGTAATAAGACATAATAAGTAACAGATGTATATAGTTCAACGATATTACTTTGGTGTAAGGCTTATTTTAATGAACTCTACACATTAGGATTACCGCTGAGATTTGTCAGGGTTGTTGATCTGGATATATTTACCAGTCATGTTTGAAATATGGTTTGAATTAACAGCCCTGAGATTGATATTTAATCTCCTTTCATTAATTATTTTAAATTTCTTGCAATATTATAAAGTGCCTTCGTTTAATACTTTGAAGTGCCCTTAATTAATCATATTTATGCCTCGCAATAATTATATATTAAGTGCCTTCTATTGATACCTCTTATTAATTAGAAATGCATTCGTGTCTTTTATTAAATAAAATGCCTTTATTGTTAAAGGTACTTATATGCCTTATATTAATGATATGAATTGCCTAATTTTGATAAACATACGTGCATCATATCAATAATTTGAAATATTCATATGCTCCCATTTGTACAATGCAAGTGCCTTATAATAAAATTATTCAGCATTGATTTTATGACAAATGCCTCTATATTTTTATGAATAAGTAAATGCCTATTATTGATAATTGTGCCTATTGATTATAAGTGTTAATGTTTATTTTTTGTATCAAAGATCTGATAATATTTTCTTATTTAATTGGTAATTTTCAACATAGATTCCATATTGTAGAAAATTCATTGAACTTTATTTTGAAAATATTTTTAAGAGAAACAATGACTTATTTTGGAGAGGATTTAATAAACCTTCTTTATGAAAATAGTAACAATGAAAAAATATTTATAAAAAATATTTTAGATCTCATATTGGTCACAGTAAACATTTACAAGATTTTGATAGGTATGCTTTTGAGAACACTTCAATCAGCAACTTGAGTAATTTTAAGAATTTAAGGCCTTGTTTCTGGTAAAATGAGTGTGAGAGTCTTTCATAGAAATCATGAAACAGTTTACTATAATAAAAAGGTTTTTTTGTTAGAAACTTGGCCTTTCATTTTCTTTGCACTTCAAGCCTAATATTCAAGAAATATTTTCCAAGAAAATTACCAGTGATTAATGTATTTTGTATTTGTTATGTATTTTGCTTTTGTTGTTAATTTGAACATCATCCTCATAGTTTGCTTTAATCTGGTCTGGAATTTGGTGCCTCCTTTGATCAATGACTTTCCAATGAGCAAGATAAATAGAAATGTAAACCCCTTTATCAATAATGGCTTTATGTGATAACATACGAAGGTCAAAATATTGAGACAGACCTCCCTTTTATTTATAACATAACCTTGAGTCTAAAATATTCTAGAATAGCCATTATTAAACGAAATTGTTATAGATGGTCTAGATCGTGAATAACAGCAGGCTGAATAGAGCTGAGAAGACTTAACTCTCTACTTTTAAAAAGACCTCTTTTTGATACCTACAATTTAGGTGAATTTGACCTGCATGGTTAACACTACTATTAGGATGATGTTCTATTGTAAACAGTATTAGTCATGCTTTTACTGTAATTTTATTTTGAAGCCCTGTTGGCAGCTGAATGTATATATACTTTATTATTATTATTATTATATTGACTTGTATTAAAAGGATAGTAGGAGTACCTATTCCTAGCTATAACTAGCTGATGTATATACAGCATATAATGTACTAGAATTATCCTTGCTAAAATATCAATGTACAAGGAAAATGAAAAATTAAATGGAGTTTTACGTCCTACTTTTCTGCACCAGAGGAGATTAGATATTTGGTACTGTAGGTCTATAGCGTAGGGTCATTTGAAATATTTGAATACTCAGACATTTAACTCCAGAGCAGATTTACTTTTCCGGTTTACAAAATGGTTTGGTTTTACTAAAGATTTGGATTTTGTTAACTTTTGTTCATTAAGAAATGAAATGAAAGGAGTTTTACATCCTACTCTTTGTTCATAAAGTAAAAACATCTAAATTTAGCATACTGCTTTATCTAGATTACAATTACAATGGTATTGGTATATTGAATACTGGTACTTATTGAAATTGAACTCTGATAATCATTCTTTAGATGTTGGAGAACCTCAGTATTATATTATTAACAAGAATGCTCTTCTTAAGATAGTTAAAATCTGTATTTAATGGTATATATGGAATATCTATTGTGTGGCTTGTGTGCAATTTATTTTAGGTTTTCTGGGTTGTGCTTTCAATGTTTTATTATCATATATATATATTTTATTATAGAACTGGTCCATAGCTTTATATTCATATATTTCTAATAAAGTATTTTATTTAAGTTTGCCCTATGTTTGAAACTTCAGAACCATAATGAAATGATCAAACCCTGTCCTAAATGCCTAAAGCAAAAAAACTCCCCTGGTTTTTGAACGAACACATGAAAATGATAAGCTTGAAAAATTACAACTAATGTTTTTGAGTTTGTGTCTTATTACAAGGATATAAAATAAACAGAAATTAACAAATCCATATCTTAACACTAACAATAGTATACAAAAGTGCATAAACAATTTCATGATTGCAAAAAAAAAAAAGTAAGTTCAAAGTAGCATACTACGGAGCCCCTAAGGCGCAATTGTAAACATATTTATCTATTATTTCGTTTATAATAAATAAATATGTTTACAATTGCGCCTTAGGGGCTCCGTACTTATTTACTGGAGGTATTGTCACATTGAAAAGATAGCTTGCCAGGCAAGGTAACATACGCCCACTGGCAGCTGTCAGAAATGATTAAACAGTCTTTAGTGACTACAGGGTTGCACAATATAGCTAATAGAGTGAAACGTCAAGTCAGACACGATATTTCGGTGAAATATTATTATATCATCACGAAAATCGATAGATCATCACGAAAATCAATAGGGATCATCTTCATAATGACATTGACACACAAAATAAAAATCAAAAGAATCTGTAAAAAATTGTAGCCTGTAGAGTGAGCACGAGTTGCACAATATAGCTAATAGAGAAAAACGTCAAGTCAGACACGATATTTCGGTGAAAAATTATCCGATCATCACGAAAATCAATAGGGATCATCTTCATAATGACATTGACACACAAAATAAAAATCAAAAGAATCCATAAAGAACTGTAGCCTGTAGAGTGAGCACGAGCCAAATGTGACCGAACGGACCGACGGGGTGATTACAAAATACGCCCATCTTACGTGTGGGCGTATAAAAAGGGTGGGTTGCTTAAGAATACTAGATCAGATATACTACCATTTTCATTCCATTGTAAAATGTTGAGTTACAATTATCACACTGTTCAATTCACTGAGTCTTATGACTTTCACAGAACTGTTAAGTCCTTTATTATCCTAAACAGGCACTTTGCCATTTGGAAGCCAATATTTACCAGATGTAATGAGAACATTACTTTACGGTCATAATTAATTCTACGATTTTTTTTTCCCCAGAGTCCAAGGTCTTTCCTTATTTCTTTGATCATTTAATGACATCATAGCTTTCTTAGGAGGCACTAACGTATCTGATACTCCAATTTTTCTTTTGTGCTTTTTATTTGCTGAGAAAGAGTCCTCATCTATTGGCTCTGGAATAAATGGCTGCTCTGTAGAATGGGGCAGAAAGTGTCCAGTGTCATTTCTGTGATTATCAGAATCCTCATATCGGTTTGCACCTCGTAATGTGTCAATGTCATGAGAAAATCGACAGTTTTTGCCACGATTACACTTTCCTTTCCGAAATTTAAAACACACTTTTCTATTTCCGATATTTTTCTTTTCTGTCATTTGAACATGCTTTTCTAACACTGTCTGTTTATCTAGTTCAGCTTGTTTGAAAGGGTTGATAAAAACTGACCCTGTTTGGGTATCTCCTAATAATGGATTGGGTAATCTTTCTGGAGGCGGATCTTCATCTTCTTCCAATGAATCTGATTGGTTAGAATTTTGGTCACTGTCATCTGATGAGGTACCATCTTCATTATTTTCAGTGGTCGTTAACAAGAAATTTGTTTTATTTCCTTCGCCTTTAACTTTATCTTTTGATGGTTCATTGCTTAAAAATAATGTTACAATGGAGATTTCACTCATATAAAAATGATGACTAAATTTTGATTCTGAAAACAATATGGTTGGACAGTGGACTAGAAAGCATATCAGTATATACATGTAAATCATAATCTTCTGATTTCCAACACCTTTAAACCATTATTGTTAAGTGATTTGAGTGTAAAACTAGAACTAGATAGTAGAAGAGGTGTGAAAAACCAATCAAGAAAGTGTCATGATGTTCAAACACATTTCTCATAATCTTCTACCAATCAATTTAGTTGCTGTTATAAAGATTTGGGTGGTTGAAAGGTAGCACATTGTCACAATGACAGATTCAAGATTAGTCGTAGTGAAATTGAACTTACAGTTACACTGAACTCTGCGCTGCACTTGACTTGCATAGTTGCAGACAGTAACTTAAGTTGAGTAACTGTACATTTTGCGGTGTACATGTTTCATTTTCCGAAACAGGGGCTTGTTACAACGCTTTGCATTATATGTCCTTTTTAGTGCATGAAATGTTTCAAAAGAGATTCATACCAGGCTTTTACAGAGTCAGTATCGCTATAAACTTCGTCTTCGCTACTGTAATCGGCAACTAAAGACGCCATTATTCCGGAAATGTAAATCAGCAGTGAGAGGTGCGCACGTAAAATATACTTGACAATGATTGGTTAAAAATACCGGCGACTTTTGCCGAATGTCAGTCGGATAACTTTTCCGAAAATAGGAAAGTAGACGTTAATTATCATATTTGACACTTGATCTTAAGCAGAATCATCCATAAAAATCATTATTTAGGGGAAAGTAACTCAGATTTTTCGTACTTTTCATTGTCATTGAACAAATCACCCGTCGATCAGCTGACGGATGTAGATGTCGCTACAGGTACTTTGGAAGGTTGGAAAGGATTTTCAGGAATTGTGTCACACCGTCGCGAAAAGGAAGTTTGTTTTCTTTTCTATGCGGTCTTGGTTCGACGAAAAAAAGCTGAAGATCCACTAATTTCACGTTTTGCACCTTTTAGTAAAATATCGCTTTCTTTTTCATTTTAAATTATATTTAGAAAAAATCCCAGACGGGACTTGAAACTTTTCATTCCTTTCGACACGAGACGTGTCTGTCCATTTGACAGGAGAGGGTTAAGATGTCGGGAAAAGTTAAAGCCCGTTCTTCAGCCAATTCCTCTGATTCTGCCACGCAAACGGTCAATGAAAAGATTTTGAGAGAATGTCACAGTTTGTACATCGATCCTGAAAATGGTAAAATATTTTTAATATTACATAAAATGTTAATTTTGAACTTATTTAATATGCAGACATGACGAAAATCCCTGCCGACGACATGATTTCATTTCGTAAGAAGAGCATCCAGCTTATTGCTGCCAGGTCATCAGACAGAATGTGATCACTCGACTTCATCAGGTCACAAAGCAAGGCAGAGGATCGAATTTGCAAAAGAGATCCTTGCATGACATGGCTTGGAAGGTAAGTTGTGCAAATTTCCAGGCCTGTGTCTGGTTTCTGCAGGAAGAACCCAACACAGGCAGGTGAGGTGAGTAAAAAGTGTGAAGTCAGAAAGTGGGTAGAAAGTTCTGGAATTTTAGGGCCAAAAGTTCAATGACCTGAACTGAAGAGTTGGCCAAGAAGCAAAGATGGGCTTTACTGTTGCAAATATTTATGATAGAGTCATGAATTGTTGGCTGATGATGAAATAAAAAAAAAATTCTAGGCAGACAAGACTAAAATTTTATTTTGATGACTCATCTAATATATAACCATTGATTGCCCCTTGCTCATATTTTGGGGAATCTATACAGGGGCCTGCATTTGCTAAAATATTCAGAAAAAGATTTGTAATGGTGAGATTAGTGATGCAGACTTATTCCTAATGTCATTGAAAAGAAATGGCCTCAGACAGAAATACATTATGAATGGATTTTTGTAAGGTGATTTTTTTTTTTCATTAAAATTGATTGTAATTTGAAAGGGTTGAGAGGTTTTCTAGCTTTTTGATGCCTTCTTTTAGCATTACTCCGTTTTTCCATCTGTTTCATACGTATTGAGTTGTTTATTAGTAGTCTATATGTCACTACATGGCATCAGACAAGCTGCTAATAAAAAATGAATGGCTTTGTAGAATTCCGAGATCCGCATATGTCTGATTGAAAATAAGAATGATGCAAATTTATGCTATCAGTGTTATTGATATAAATAAAACGTAAAATAACCTATTTAGAATCCTTTACATTGTTGTTAAGTGAATGAATTAGGAGCAATATCAAAGAAGATACAAATAGGAAATACATTTTTAAGATTTCATAAATAGGCATTAGGTTATTTGTAATTGATGTAGGCAATAAGGAATAGTTATTGTAAACTTGAAACTAGATTGAACTATTCAGTTTTAGCAGGAGTGTAGGACATAAGAGCATGATGCAGAAGAGCAAATCATCACATGTGAACAACCAAACACTCTTTCCTTGTAATAGTTAAAGTTTTGGAGAATTGACTCAGAAACCAATGGAAACAAGTTAGTGATTTTTTGTCCTTGTTCTGATTGGATCAGAAAAAAATGAGTTGTTTCGAAAAAAAAAAACAAATGTTTTTAATTCATTTTGTATCCTAAGAATGTTTTCAAGAAAAATTTTAATTTGGGATTCTTCGATAAGTAAAAAAAATGCTATTGCAGTATAATTTGAGCCAATTTTTCTAAACCAAACATATTTGTACTTTGTGGTTTGCCAAACATGCATGTATATGACTCACCTATTAGTAATGTTATGAAATAGTTGAGGCAATTAATGATACAAAACGAAATAGAAATTTTAATGGGTGCCAAGTACAGGCCATGTTTTTGGTGTTTTAAGTGTATAGTTGATTAAGGAATGGGTGTGGCTAGATCTTGAGTTGTAGTTTACAAGTAATTACACCATTTTGTCTTACATCTTTTATACTTAAAAATTGAGAACGATGTGGGCCAAAATTTGTACGTTTTATGCATCAGTTACCTGAAAAATTATGTTGTTTTTTTTACATGTGTATCAACTGATCAAGATAAGATTCACACTCTTTTTGGTTATAGGCCTATAGAATTATAATATTACTGAAATATTTGAGATGAAAATAGCAAGTGTTTGACTTTCAGAAGATTGGGCTGCTGGGTTATCAGTTGAAGTCAAACTTTTTGCTTTTCTTGAGCTTTGCATCAAGATAGTATTTTCATTTAGGTTTCCCATTTCTAGTGATGCAGGCCAAGATGGGAAGAGTCTACTTTTTAGGGTGGGGCTTTTGTGCCAGGATTATGGACTGAGCAAAATAAAAATTGAATTTGAATGAGGGAATGCTAATGTTAGAAAATATTTCATACCTGCAGGATGGAGACAAATCATGAAACGACATTATTTCGACACGACTTTTGAGGGACAACACATAAAAAATGATTTTTCGATGGAGAACAACAAGTGGTTGTTTATTTTTCATTATTAGAAACAAATTGACCTTAAAAATAACTGGCAGACGATCAACAATTTGATGATTTAAATATTGCATGAAGAACAATGTCATTATTTTTAGTGTAACCGGTCTTATAGTATCAGTTGTGATCTAGTGTTTCAACATCTAGTCTCCTCAAACATGGATCATTTGAAATGCAAAAGTCTTTTGACTGTTTTACTTGGTGCTTAAAAGATGGATGTATATTTTCAGGACTGGTCAGAATTGGAGAAGACCTGGGCCTGTCTCTATTGGCACCGAGAAAGAAAATAACAGTATTATTAATTGGTAATCATTCAGCTGGCAAGAGTTCCTTTATAAACTGGTGAGTAAATGTATTGTTACTAAATTTCATAGTTGTTGAAAATGCACAAAAACCACAGAGATTAGATTTGACTTGCCAACTAAAGTCACGAACACACGAGTCCAACATCTGACAATATCATGGACCATCCTCCTTCTATGATAGGGTTTCTCAAAAAAATTAACTTAAACACCTCTTTGACATTTGCAAATGTATGACATAGGGTCCTGGTGCTGCATATGGACCTCGTCATTGTATGGAATTATACTCCCCACCCCCCTTCCCTCATTAATTAGAAGCACACCTGGTCCTTAAATTCGATAACAAACTTTGCTAAGGTAAGTTTAAGGTAAGTTCAGGAAGGAATAATGAACCTGTAGATGATACATTCCACTTCCAGTTTGTGGGAAAGGAATTCGTAACAACCCGTAAAAAACCTTTTTATCTCATTGATGAAATGAATGGAATTTTACGTCACACTTTTGTTCACCTAATTGAGCTAATGAAAACTGGCAGTGCAATGAGAGAACAGCAAGGGATCTTTAAAGATGAGTTTCCTTATTTTTTTATTGACAAATTAAGCAAACTATTTGATTAATTGGTATTTCTAATGTATTATCATTTATTCTTAATCATATCATTATGTTCTTATTGCATATGATTAAGAGTTTTAACCAAACATAAATGTCCATGTATGTCCAGTGTGGATAAACAAAAACGACTTTTTTACTTTTCTTGATCGGTCACTCATTGGAATTCTGCTGGTAAATTTCTTCTAATTTAGCTAATTATGAATTAATTATGGACATGTGAGACAAACTGGTATTTTTCCAAGTCATTAGAACACCACTACTTTATATTCATATAAATAGCATTTTCATTTTCATAAATGAAAATAAGGGAACCTATCTTTAAGGTGCACAATCTGTAAATCTGATCATTGTCCAGGGGTTTGGCCAAAGACCAACTGGTAGAAATGATCATAAATTATAAACCTAAGTTGTTATCCTTGTAAAATATAGTTGATCTTTCTTTCTTTTTTTTCCTCCTTGGGATTGGAAATGTGCATTTATACATTTCATTGTCATCTAATCATCATCTTCCATATTTGAATTACAAAAATCATGTGACAATCTGCATATAACACCATGAAGTTGCAGAGCACTAGCCATTTCTTTCAATGTTGTCAACCTGAGTGGTTTACTGGACACATAATTATGCGATACGTAGTAAAATGTCTGTTACCGAATGATATATAACTTACATGTTAAACACTTAAAATTATGTTATTGGAGTTCAGGGTATATGACGACATTTTATTAAATTTACACTATGTTCAAAGGGTTAATATCTTTCTGGTTGGAATTGATAATCTTAAATGACACTACTTTCCCTTAACTTCCTGTTTGTAGGAAACTTTGAATTTCATTGGATAACCAGATTGCTGTCTGCTATGTTCAATTAACCTTTGTGTACCTTGCAAGGCTTATACTCACATAATTTCAATGGGATTTTTCTTTTTAATAGAATTTGTGTCAAAAATGATGTTCTTTTGATGATAAAATTATTATTATTAACTCTAGTAGACTGTCAGCTAGGCATAAGATTATAGGTAATAAATGTCCTTCCTGTCTGTGAATCAAAGTGATTGCTTTATTTTGAGAATTTAAATTTGTGGTAACTTTTGGTATCTGTACTATTGAGTCCATCTAAACATTATCATATGTCCCTGTACCCTTCATGATACAACAATATTGTTCAGAGGTATGGTTTTATCCTTTGTACGTAGATTTATCAATTTCTGTTAACATCGTAAAAGTATTCTTGGTTTTTCTATTAATATCAAAAGGGTAGTAATATTTGTTTTATGAACTCCATTTGCTTAGAACTTTTAAAAAAACAGTCCAATTTTCAATTCTTTTTCACTATAATGCTCAGATTAATCTAGTGTATAGGATATCTCAAATAAATCAGTGCTTACTCTTTTGAAAGGGTTGATTATTCCATTGTTTAACAGATCTTCTGTGTTCCTCATGAAAACTTTGGCATATGTTTTTTTTTTTTTTTTACAGCTTTTTTTTTCATTGTCACAATGAAAGAGTTTTGCTTATGAGTTGTAAAATAAACTGGTCAATTGAATCCCACTAAATCAACAGTCTTTGAAAAATCGTAGGATAGGTTTATTAATATGGTTCAACAATTGATAATTAACGCCCACTGTGGAGACATAGACCATTTTATTTCTATTCTCATAGACACTACTCCTACAGTTCTTTCCAATATTTTCACTCAAATTCTTCAATCTAGTCTATCTTGCTTCTATATTGATTATTTTTGGAATATTTTACTCGTGTGACATTTCGTTCATTTCTAAACTGTCTGTGTCAAATCGTACAAGTTTCAAATAATGTTACTTGGCCTCGCTTCATCTTTCACTGCTTCCCTTCTGATAAAATGTGTTGAGTCAACAGTTTGTAGAGACTAGTTTGGTCAGTGGTAGAGACAGTGAAGTATAATAGTGTTATTTATTAGTACGTGAGATCGGGCTAACCACCAATCAACTACCAGGTATTGATCTACTCTATTTACTCAGCTTGCAGCTTTATTAGGTGAGTTGTCTACAGATAATCTGTCTGATTGGTCAACTTATGACGTGATAACTTGTTTCATTGGCCAAAGTGCATTATAAGTCAATAGGAGGTCAGCTCGCAGACAAAGTGACCTTGACCTTATCTATAGTTGACACAGACGCCCAGACGTTTTGTGCTTAAAGCAAATATAGAATATATGGGTTAGAATTACTGTAGAAGAGATTAATGTATCATTATTTTATACATCGTATTAAATCTTGATTCCACTCCTTATCCAGTCTCAATTCACCAGCAATTAAACCTTAACGCTTGTAATTCACTGTTATTAAAGTTTTTAATTTCACTTTGGTTTGAAAGATTTGAATTTATTGCGTATCACAAATATTTTGATGGATTCATTTTGTGAGATGGTTTTTGTTATTTCAGCTTTTGTCCTTTTAGTTTTCTACATCTCTTTTGCCCTTTCCATATTCTCATATCAGTTTTTTTTGCCATTTTAAAATTAAAGGCGCCTCCACTGTTGACCTGAGACGCCTCCACATTAGGTCAATTTCGCCTCCGCATTAGGTCAATTTCGCCTCCGCATTTGATGCAGGGATCTTCTGCCTAAGATCAATTTCCTCTCAACATTTGACACTGCATTTAATCTGAAACAATTTCGCATTTTATACAAGGCTTTATTGTAGTAAAAAATTCACTCTTGGTTTCCCCGGACAGTTAAATGGAATGAAACCGGTTGGGTCATACACACCAGATAAAGGGTGTCCCGTAGAAAAGTTCTTTTTCCTTTGTTTTTGGCCAAAACACTCGGTCTTATATTTCAACCGGAAATAGATAGATTTAAACGATAGGTGTAAATATTTTTAGTATTGATATTGAACAATAGTTAGATTAGTATGAGGAGGAACACAGAGGGAGATATAAAATATGTCTATTGTCACGGGAAAATATTCAATGAAACAATTCATATAAGGTTGGGATTATGTTTCATTACGGTAAATGGTAGAAAAAGCGTCTGAAGCGGAGACGGTCGTGACACGCGAAAGCCACCTCCTTCTATATTATACTATCATAGAGACAGTAGACTATTTATAGAAACCGGTGCCTGTGTTCATAATGCAAATTACATCACCCATTGAAAAGATGCGATGTCATAATGAACACCCACTCAACAGTGAGAAAAGGGCTTAAAACTGCCATTTCTCAGAAATCATCTGAAAGTATCTTTAAATTTCTTAATCAACTATGATTTAAATGATGTGAATTATAATTAGTTTTGAGTTTTTTGGGGATTGAAGGAGAAGGCTTTAGAGACGTCGGTGGCGATTTTTCTGACCTTTGTTTGCATTATAAGCCTCTTTCTGGTTTCAGTATGGCTGATGAATGAATAAGGTCTTGACGGTGCTGAGTCTGTTGAATCTATTGGCTTGTTAGGGAGTTGCAAGAAAATAATTCCCATAAAAAGCACAGGCATAGGTCATGTCTTGTATTATTCATTAGCCATATACGGTGATGAACTTTATCTTTTAGTCTGTATCAGCATCCCTGGAAAGTTAAAATGACTGTCTGATATATCTTAAGGTATTTGACAGAATAAAACTTTGATTTAATAACTACAAAGAAAACAGGCGTCAAGTCTGGTCTAGCTAATTGAAATTGATGTTAAGTGAGTTATCGTCTAGCCTGGATAATTGAGACTCAATATGTCTAGTCTGGATAATTGAGACTCCATCAATTTTCATATAATTCAAGAATATATGTTCATCCAACGGAAAATGTATAAAAGATTCTTTTATGAAATTGTATAAAAATAGAGAGAGTAAGATAATTATCTTTTAGATATATGATTTTGTAGGAATTAAGATCATAAAAACATAAAGAATATATTTGCTGAATTAGCACAATTTGCCCTACTGGGAGTTAGCTGCGTCAATGGATGATAAGCTTAATTTCAGCTGTCTGCATCACTTCTCAAAGTACAAAATCTGGACAAAAGCTACGGGAAGAAATGAGAACACTTTTATCAGCATGGTTGTAACCTTGATTTCTGTGGTAAACCTGAACGACACAAGACCTTCGAATTCATATATAAACTATTCTCATTTAGATAATATAGTTGTAGTTAGTCAATGGCATGATTTTAGATGAGCACAGGATTTTCACAATGTTAATATGACTATGACTATTGATGTTTTATTATTCATTCAGTCTGGATTCATCTAGCGTAAAGGTATGTATTAATGTCATCACGTGTTACAGTTTCAATGGTTTTGACTGTTGTCCAGAATTTTAACATTAAATAATCATCTGCTTTTAAAGTCTGCCACTATTTTTTGATGTTGGCAAGTGTAAGCTTATTGAAGGTTTGGGGTATAACTGTTTTTGATTTTGTGGAGTGAAAGTGTTGCCATAAGCAAGTCTGAGTTACTG